ATTGAAGAGAACTGGACTGTGCGAAGTCCCTCTCTGCAGCAATTAAGCAAAGTTCATACCCACAGCAACTATTTTCTAACTTAGAAAAAGAAAGAAAAAAGAAAAGGGTGAGCTGGAATGCGAGTCATTAGCCAAGACTGATGCCGCCAGTCGGAACGCAGAAGCATCTTTCCAACAGGCAGACCCTTCCAGAAGTGGGAGATGAGACCTGACTCGCCCCGAGACTGTGACGACAGGTTTAACTCTAGGAACGTTCCCAGTTCTTCTCTGCATGCTCTCAGTTGCTGTTTCTCTGAGGAACAGGGAGGTTCTCGTGAAGATATTTTAAACTTCCATGCTCTGAGAAATCTGAGACGACGTGGTCCTGCCCTCGCAGCAGCCACTTGGTAGTAAGGAGTCCCTCAAGTCCTACTGGTCCCCGGGCGTGGATTCGTGATGTGCTGATTCCCACTTCAGCTCCTGCGAAGAAGCGTGGATGAGAATGTGGCTTTTCTCAGCCTCTGCTTCCTGTCCGCCCACCGGCCCCACATCTCCTCGTTCTCCTCACCTGGCACCCTCTCCCTGCCCCATCCTGCCCCATCCCCCCCAGGCCGGTCTGAGTTGCACTGTTGCTATAAATCATGATGAGGCCCCTTCTTCTAATGAAACACTATGCGTGAGCCTCTTGTACTTTATCCTCAATGCATTTTGACAATACTAGAAGTGCTGCCTCTGACACCTGCTTCGTGTCTAGATTACGTACCACGATGTCACCCCTGGGCATTTTCTGAGGTGTACAACAATGTTTAGTATGAATGTGTCATTTCCACAAATATTCTTTAAATCCTAGAAAGGGACATGTTCTCAGTATCCCTCAGAATTCTTAGCACAGAGGCACTCATTAGACAGTAACTGGATACATGAAAGGGTATCGACCGTTTGCCATCCCTCCTGCTCCAGGTGTCGACTCAGGGACAGCAGGGGTTTTCCTGGGTCTGGCTCTTGTTGCTGCATCACACACAGTAGAGGCAGGGTTCCCCTGTTCGTCACAATTTTACATACTATGTACCAGGCCCTGGGCAATAACTGATAGAGGTCCTGTTTCCATGGAGCATGTATCTTGTGGGCAAGGCAGCCAAAGGACAGTTCAGCAAGTAATTTCGTGTGGTGACTGAGTGCAGTGAAGGGTGCTATGACAGAATACGTGGGTAGGGTGGGTACCACAGTGGACAGGATGGTCAGGGAGAGTCTCTCTGAAGAGGTGTCTTTCCACTAGAACCTGAACAATGAGAAGGAGCTGGCCAGGGGAGGGGCAGGTGGAGAGGAGCAGCCGGCAGAGAGAAGAGCAAGGGCAGAGACCTGAGTGGGATGAGCTTGGGCCAGCGGTTGGCAAGTAGAGTGACCACCAGGTTCGCATCTTGGTTTAATGATATAGAGACCACGTAACTTTGGGCACATTGCCTAACCGTGTCTCGTCCTTGTTTTTCATTTAAGGAATGATGAAAATAATAGAATCCATTATGCAGAACTGAGAAACTGCTTGTGATGCACTTAACACAGTGTTAGAATATACTAGATGCTCAATAAATATTACCTGTCACTGTTATCAATGCATTTCACAAGAATTTAACTCGACCAGAGTTTGAGTCTCTGCTCTGAGTGGGGGATGGAAAGACAACGGAGTGGTCCTCTGCTTTTCCCCGTCTTAGACTTTCACTTGAAAGCTGGGCACTTCAGCCCTTAAAAGTGTGAAAGTATTTCTTCTTTCAAGAACATGGAATATAAAGATCAGTGCAAGTGATGTGATAATTAAATCAAACCCCCAACATAGTAGAAACTGGGAACTAAAAATAAAGTATCTAATGACTAAGAACCACTGAGTAAAATTCCCTTTAATAACCTTTAACAATTCAGTAAGAACTATTTCTCTAGGCAGATCATCTATTCAAAAGTCCAGAGGGATTAAAATGTTTCAAGTGGTTGAAATGCTTCTCAGATGTGTCATAAATGCCTTATTGGAGCTTTGCATAATTACACCCCTGAAAACCAGAGATGGTCTGAAAAATCCCTTTACTATTGGGGATGGAGATTTTATTATTAATGATGGAAGGGGATGGGGGCAAAGTAAACCTCACATCTCTGGGCTTACCTGTTTGTTTTTGATGCTGACACTTAAGCCCAGCACAGGTATTAACACCTTCCTTTGTCCTATCCTCATGGGGAATTCCTATTTCTGAGGAAATCTGGCTGTGTCTCTCTAAAGGAATAAGTCTGCAGTGGCAGTGCTCTCAAGGGTCCTTGGCATGTACACCTGTCACAACCTGTGTATGGAGACATGCTGTGGTCTGCCAACATTATGGTGGGACCCAGGCTTTGGGCTTGAATAAGTTTAGGTCTGAATGCCAGCTGCATGACTTTGGGCAAGTTACTTCAGTTCTGTGAATCTCAGTTTCCCCATCTATGGAAAAGGAAACATGAGTACCTACCTTCTTAACATGCCCAGAGCACAGGACTTCTATGAACTCATGGTAGCTAGAATTATTCTCTCTCATAAACCCACCCTCTCCCAATTCTGCCTCTATCATCTCCATCAAGCATGAAGAAGAGGTGTCTACTCCACCCTCACCTTGCTCCCTGGACCACACAGTGAGTCACAAGGCAATTCTTTCCCCGTGACCTGAGTCTGTCTTACCCAGTCCGAAGCGGTAGCCATCAGAGAAGCGAGTGCTGGCGTTCCAGAACACACAGGCACTATCCACGTGGTGGAGGAAGAACTCTGCTGTTTTCTCTGCAGCACAAAGAGAAGAAACTGAGTTACGATGACTCACGGAGAATATCCCTGCTTCCAGCCACATACCAGTGACTGACTGGGGCAGGGTCCAGGCCCCTGAGGAGCTTCCACACATATTACACATGAAGATTTATGAAAAAAATCTGAAGAGAAAGAAAGAAACCAGCTTTATCAGTCACTGATGTGGAAGTTGCTGGGAAAGACTGGGCTGGAGTCCAGATCTCCCACTGCAGACAGACCCCAGTGCTGCAATGGCCTGTCTACACTGTCTGTTTATAGGCTCCACAGCCAGAATGCCTAGGTCTGAACTCCAACTCCACACCCTCTAAGGTGACCTTTTCTGAACCTCTCTCTGGCCGAGTAAAATGGGGAGTGACAACATTACCCAGCTCACAGGGCGGCAGAGAGGAGAAAGTGAACTGACAACCACAGAGCACTATTGCAGAGCCTAGCACATGATAAGTGCTCCATAAATGTTAGCTGTTACTATTGGTGGTGGTGTGATTCCCCAATAAACTGACTATAACTTCCCTGTGGGGCCATCCTGGTTTTATCACTGGGCCTCCAGTGCCTGACGCCTAGGCATGTCTTGTAATACCTATCTGTGGCGTGAATGAATGAGTATGGAGAGTTGGTTCTGCCTTTAACTAGTTGTTTCTGCACTTAAGCTCCTGAGCCTTGGTTTCCTCAGGTGGATTTATTCCAACAACCTGGAAAGACTGTTGTATGAAGTGAATGAACACCTCTACCACAGAGGGAGTCAGCTTAGAGTGGAGCTAGTCACCTCTTCTCTGCCTCCCCACCCAGGGCCACTGTGCCAATATGCTGAGGTAATAGGCATGAAAGCACTCAGCTAACCAGCAAGCGCAACCAACACCAGGGATCATCATTAGACTGTTCAGATTTTGTTTTCCTCCGAGCCAAAAAGGGCTGAGTGGAATGAAACCACCTCAGCGATCAAGGCAGAAAAAGCAGACACCGTAGGCTCGAAGCATCCGCACACTGACCATTCTCTGTGACGATGACATCTGTATGGGAGCTGCCGTACTTGTGGATGTGGTCAATGGCCTCCTGGATACTGTCTACCACTTCAATGCACAATTCCAGGTCACCATACTCAGTTCGGAGGGACTTCACTTCAGAGGGGCTGAAGGTCAGATAGGAGGCAAACTTGGGGCCTGCATGGATTTTCACCTGGAACAGAGGAAGTCCGGGGGCAACAACATAAACAAAGTAAGCAAGCTCACACTTCCTCTAGGATTGCACAGCAGGATGGGCATGAAGGTGGTGAGCCTGTGGCTCCTGTGGTCCAGACAACTAAACTAGTCCCTGCCTTCCCTTTAGAGGCAGCCTTCCGCCCTCCAGGATGCAGTGGTTTTGAAATGCTGACTGTGTCTATGGCCATGTTACCCTGGACAAGCCCGATCCCGTCTGATCTCGGAAGCTAAGCAGGGTCGGGCCTGGTTAGTACTTGGATGGGAGACCACCTAGGGAGACCAGGTGCTGTAGGTGTAAAAAATAAAAAAATAAGGGATTGTAAGCTGACAAGGTCTTTGCAATCTGTTCAACCAAGGGTTGCCTCTCAAGAAAGAAAAAAAAAAGGAGAGGGGAAGGGGAGGAGGGGGAAGAGGGGGAGAGGGAAGGGAGAGGAGCGGGGGAGGGGAAGGCAGAAAGAAAATGCTGACTGGACACTTGCCAGCAATGAACCCAACCGACTATCAACATAAGCCCCCGACTGTTGGCATTTTACTAGCAAGAACACTTGACTATAAAAATCCCATTCCCCGCATATGGGACCTAGGCACTGGATTCACAGAGAAAGGGAGATACCACGTATACACTTCCACTCCCTTCACCCTGGAAAAGTCCTAGGTGTGCTTCAGAGGAAACAGTACTCGGCTGGTAACCACTTCAAACTGTGGTTACTTCTCAGATTTCCAACTTGGTCGGTCCAGCCCCACCTCTAGGTTCAGCTCAGCTCCAGCCTTTGGGGATAGTTCTGCTCCTAGCTGGAAGAATTTAGGGATCTGGAGGCTAGTCACTGAAGGCCCCAGGCACATGTCTGACCCCACTTAGGCTTGCTCTCAGACCATCCCAGGCAGCGTTCATGCCTTGATTCTTTGGGACCAAGCTCTTGCTTGGCTTAAGTTACAAGTGGTGCTTGTCTGTCCTTGTTTGAGGCCCTGCATGGTTTCCTACCTGGAACTCTACTTCCTCCAGAGTTGGAGTCCGCCCATGTTCCTCAGGGACTGGAACCCCATTCCTGAGCCCTAGCTCTGGGCAAGTCACCCTGCTGGTGTACTTCCTACAATACAAAGGTGCTGCCTAAAGTACAAATACTCGTTTGGATTTGGGGAATTTCAAGGCAATCCCGACAATGACTGAGAACAGAGTGGGTTTGTCTGAATCAGGACTGGGGGTTTAATTCCTAACTAAAGGAGAGCTTTCCTCCTGTCCTGTATAGTCCTGTGTACTGGACACACACAAGTATCCAATCAAACAGGCCACTAGTGTAAAGTAAGGCCTCAGACACAAGTGATCACGTAATCTACCTCTAATTTTAATGCTCAAAACAATCCTTTCGGGTTCTCACTGGGACCACGCCACATTTATAAGCTAACTGGAGCCCTCTTTTCCAGCCAGAGGAGAAAAGGGAAGAGACACATGCCCCAGGTCAAAGCCCAGTGTATGTTCAGTAACTGTCTGAACCGCTTTACCGCTGTTTATATAATTCTGAAAGGGAATCCATGACATCATATATAAAGCTTAACATGTGTCCTGACTGAAAATTTAAGATGGTTCGTTTTTGTTTGGAGAGCATCTATTTTCTTGCAATTAGAAATTTAGGCTGGAGCATACATTTATGTTGGAAACTTACTGGCATTTGTTGTTCATAACCTTAATGACATGGTAAAAAAATAATCTCAGTAAAAAAAAACACTCTACAAATTGTTGATTCCCAAATATCACTGTATCAAGTACATTAATATTGGTAATTGAAAACATTTGTGGACAGGTAGATGCAGTAAGTTTTTGATTTGAGAACATTTCTGTATAATCTTTTTAAATCAAATCCGAACAGAAATGTGTGTTCAGAAACATACACTTTAAACTATGCTGCTTGAATAAAGGTTGCCAGAAATAGTCATTCAATGGGCTGCCGTGTGATGTATCTTATCTTTGAACACTCTTAGTACTTAACACATTCCACTTTGTAATGAAGCCATTTGTGTGTGGGTTTCCTCCATCGACTAGACTGTCAGAAGGCAGGGGGCATGTCTTACTCATCTGTGTACTTAGCAGATGCTCAAAAATATTGCTTCTTGAATTGCGTTACGTGGTATGGCAGTTGCTCCAGGTCTAATCCCACAGGCTCCTAAATCTCAACATGGAAGGCAGGAAGTGACGTATGAGTCCCACGGACTTGTCTTACCTGTTCCACTCTCAGCATATCAATGATCTGGTCAAACAGCGGTGTTCTCAGCAGGTCTCGGTGGATTAACAAGGTCTCCAAAGCATTACAGGCAGCTGGATACTCACATTTAGAGTCTCTGACTAAAAGAAGAAGGACAAAGAATTGTTTCTATTAACATGATCCAGAGCCACAGAAGATCTGACAAATACTTTGCCCTTAAAACAGGGGCCCCATCGAGCTCACCTAGTCTGGTGGCTTTATCGACATTGGCCTCTGAATCCACATACATGTGACAGATCCCTTCACTGTGCCCCATCACTGGAATTCCCTTAGCGGCTTTCTGGATGTCTCTGACCAGCTGGGAAGAGCCACGTGGAATGATCAAATCTATTATTTTGTCAAGGCGGCAAAGATCTTCTACTTCTTCTCTGGTATTCACCTGAAAAGGCAGAGGATGAAAAGATAAAGAGGACATCTTCTAATCCCATGAAACAGAGGAGCTGCAACATCCCTTTTACAGATAAATTTCTGCAGCTTCTGAGAATGAAATCGGGCACTGAAAAGTTATTCCAAAACAAGATTAAGCCCCTGGTCATGGGAACTGACAGTCCAGCAAATGCTCACCAAATACTGCATACCAGGTGCTGTGCTCTGCATGACAAAACATGCAGGACCTGGTCCCTGCCCTCAAAGAGCTGAGTCTAGCTGGGAAGACAGGACTAGGAGACAATCAGCCATACACGGGGCAGATAATTTAAAAACTGCCAGAAGAGGTACAAAGTGCTATCTCTGAAAGTGACAGCAGGTAAAGATTGTGCCAGGCAATGAGGACAAGAGGAAGTGGCTACTCTGGTGGTTCTCTATCCGCGGTCTTCTTGACATGTTGGGTCTTGCTATAGAGTCATGGTTCTATTTCCACTGAAACTTCAACCCTGGTATGCTGGCTGGACTGACTAAAGTGCCTGTGTTAGACTACAGGCATCTTTTTTGTCTTCTTGATTTTTAATTTTCCCCTATATGGTAATGTTACAACAGAAAAACAAATATATGTGTACAAAAATGTTCACAGCAACTTTAATCTGCATGGCCTCAAACTGGAACAACCCAAATGTTCGTCAGCAGAAGAAGGGTTAAACCATAGCACATGCACATGCATGGAACACTACACGGCAGTGAAAAAGAAAACTACTGCTAGACGCAATGACATGGATGAATCTCATGAATGAACAAAAGAAATACAACATAAAAGAGTATGTTTCGTACAATTCTATTTACATGAAGTTCATGAATAGGCCAAAGAAATTGAATGTGAAAGTAGTAAAACAAGTTGGGAGTGGGGTGGAGCATATTGATTGGAAAGGGCACATGGGAGCCTTTGGCTGTTAGAAATGTTGTGTGTCTTGATATGGCTGGTGGTTACGTGTACGTACGTACGTATGTGTGTGTACAAAATCATATTGTTTACTTACATACTTACTCTGTGAATGTTACACACCAATAGGAAGAAGGGAAGGGAGGGAACCCGCTGAATTAAGCTAGGATGTGGCAGAGCTGAGATTTGAATCCCTAAAAGCTGTGATCTATCCACCCACTACGTTACCACAAGAAACACCCAGATTCTTGTCAGTGACCATGTAACGCAGCAGATTCGCAGACACTCTCCTAGCAGCCAACGGAATCCTGGAATGCTGGAACGAGTGGGCCTCGACGGAGAGAGAAGAGGATCTGGAGTAATTTGGGGTGAGTTACTCAACCCCTGAACCATTTTTTTTCCATCTATACAATGGGGCTAATAATTAATGTATTTTTCTCAGAGTTGTTGTGAGGATTAAGTGGGAAAATGAATGAAAGGTGCCTTGCCCATAGTAGGTGCTCAATAAATTGTAGTTATTACTATCTAGTTCAGAAACTCCATTTGATAGTTGAGGAATCTGAGACAATAGTTAAAATGATAATCATCATCATCATAATAGCAAAATCTCATACTTAAATGCTGCATGATGGTTTATGACAAACTTTCATAAAATTGATCTCATCTTCCTTGGCCTATATCACTCTGCCCTCATTCTAGGTCTTTTTTTTTTGACCTAAAGAACAAAGGGCTAATAGGCATTCTTGCAAATCAACAGTACCAGGATAGAGGTGTATGAGAGTGACCTTCCTAAGCCACTGAAGACCCATCTGGGCCAAGGAAGCTCCTAGCATTGTCCAGTGTCAGCAGGCACACAGGACCTGCTGCCACTATAATCAAGCCTGCCTGTAGAAGTGGCTTGGCCCTAACATGGCCTAAATTTTGCTTCAAATACCAAAAGATCTGACATGGCCCCGCTGGGCCCGACTTGGCTCCTTCCAGGGACCTACCAACTGTACAGCTTCCTTGACTCCATGGATCGAGAGGGCCTCCTGGGTCAGGAGGTGAAGAATCCGGTTACTGTGTGCAGCCTCCTTCCCTCCTTTGAGTAATAAGCCATTACCACTTGCAATAGCCAAGGCTGCCACCTGCAGATCGAAGGGGAGAGCAGTGAGCCAAAGAGAAGCAGCAATCATATAATAGTAAGGTTAGTAGTCACTGAGCACTTTTTCTGGGCCAAGCACTATTAATCACTTTATAAGGCACAGACTGTTGCAGCTTCAAAACATTCTAGTGAACTGAGTATCTGTTTTATCCCTTGCTTTACAGATAAGGACACTGAAGCCCAGAGAGGTTGGTGAGTCTGCTAGGTCAGCTTATAAGTGGCAGGGCTGGGAGCCTTGACTCTGGAGCCAAGCCACCTGGATCTTAGAACTCAACTATACAGCTTCTTAGCCCCATGAGCAAAATACCTGAGGTAAGTGGCCAGGGTTGCGGGTCCCCCTCCCCACTTTGGCCATGTGGAGGACAGGGTGCTCAGCTGCCTCCTGACACATGCGCTTGCTCCACCTGACTGGGGGTGAGGCTGGGCGCCATCTCTGGTTAATTGTTTTGAGAGCTCTAAATGCCTGGTGCTGAGAACCTGGAGAAAGCCTGAGCCTCCTACCAGATCCCGGGGCAGCTGTGGCAGAGGCTGAGACTGCTCGGGAAGGAGCACAAGCCTGTTTGGGGAGGAAAAAGTAGGCCATCCATGGGTAGGATTAGTCACCCTCTTAGAGCTAAGAACTAATGACACTGACATAATCATCCAAGGCCTGAAGCTTAACTTTCTGAATGCTCCTGGGGTGAATAAAAATTTTCCTGTTTTTGTAACATAGTGAAAGAAACTTTACTAAAAAACCTTGCCTGAATATGTTAATCTCCAGATTAGTGGCTCTTAATTCTTTTCTGTTCATTTTTGTTGCTCGTGAATCCTTTATAAAAGTGATGTAAACTTTCTCTAGATAAATGCACAAACATACTGAATTCTGCATGCAACTTTTAGGATTCAAGGATTCTGTGATACCATCCAAGGTTAAGATCCTGGGTGAGGAACCTCAGCTGTAGTTGGCTAAGGAGGAAACCTTTTTCCTTGTGAACTATCAGCTAGAATGGAAAAAAAGGTAGCAGAGAAACGTCATGGACACAGTCTTCTCAGAGACTTAGGATCCCGTTCTACCAGCAGAGGGGAGTGCTGCAGTCCTCTCTGGACCATTTCTGAGACAAGTCAGGAGGGGTCAGATGGTATGGGAGTCCCTTGATTAACAAGCTGGTTTTAGGTCATGTCAGGGAGTATCTTCCACGGAGCACTCTGGACTCCCATGGTCATTTACACTATATAGTGAAGAGGTGCTGGCTCTTTGTTTTTTAAATAGAATTTCTGACACTTTGTGGCTAGTGCAGAGAAAAAGCTGGTATCATCTCAGTCTAGTGGGGAAATGCTTCCAGATTTCTGGGAGAAAGTTTAAGCAACAAGTGAGGTTAACCTCTTAATGCCACCTTGTATTTCAGAGTATGGCTGCTTGGCAAGGCTATTAATCTATGCTATCTCGACATTAGCCTGTGATATGTCAGATTCCTTAAAGAGGGTTGTATTCTAGTTCCCATTAACTACTAGATGTTCTTTTTCCTAAGAGATGAACTACAGGAAGCTATCTGTGACACTGATGATAAAGGGGTCCTTTTCATAAGGGCAAAACCAGCTATGAGATGAATGTCCCTGCAGGAGGCTAACAGGGACTCTGTGGCCAGGAAACAAAGTGCCCCAGTGAGGTAAGATATTTGGAACTGTGCTTCTTGACACGGTATGGGAGATTCATCAGGGCTTACCACCCAGATCTACCCTTATACATGTGACAGGAATATTAACTTCTATAAGCTTCGGTTTCTTCAACTGTAAAATGAATATATGAATACCTATCTTTAGAATTATTAAAAGAATCAATAACATAAATTACCTTAAGAGCAACCTGGAAATAAAGTCTTTAAAATTATCTTTGGGTAAAAAAAAAACAAAAACTTTCACTAAAAAGAAAAAAAGGAAAAGAAAAAGAATCTTTGGGAGATTTATCTTGGCATTAGTCACATACCTGGGGTAGACAGTCAGGGCGAGATTCAAAGATGACCAGCAGAACTCCAATTGGAACAGTCACTTGTTCTAGTTCCAAGTTTTTGGCAATTCGGGTTCGGCGCAAAACACGCCCCACACTGTCCTGTGAGGAGGCTGCGATCTGCCGCAGACCAATGGCCAGGCTGTTTAACTTAGACGTGGAGAGGCTCAAACGTTTCAGCAGAGGAGCTGCAAGTCTCCCTGAAGAGGTGTGAAGAACACATGATAAAGCAGTAGATCCTGGCAGGCTGCATTGTTTTACTGAACATGTGGCACTGTGTTAGGAACAGACACGGAACTTAGGGGGCACTGGGGAGATGATGACATGCCATTTATACAGCTTCTCAGTGGGGGAAGCAGTTTGGCAGTATACATCATCATATAAAGGTATGTAAACCCACACCCTTTAAGCAAGCAAGTTCAGTTCCAGAAATTTGTCATTTGCATGAGCTAACTTGCATGTAATAAGGATACCTATCACCAGCATTTTTTATTATTCTAATTTTTTAAAATTTTTTAGGCGAGTATGGGAGATTCATCAGGGCTTACCATCCAGATCTACCCTTATACATGTGACAGGAATATTTCATTGGTTGACCTCACAGATTGCAAGGACCTTGTTAGTTTACAATCCCTTATTTTTTTATTTTTTACGCCACAGCACCTGGTCTTCCTAGATGGTCTCCCATCCAAGTACTAACCAGGCCCAACCCTGCTTAGCTTCCACGATCAGATGGGATCGGGCTTGTTCAGGGTAACATGGCCGTAGACATCATAGCATTTTTAGAATAGGGGGAAACTAGATTCTACCTATAAATTCAGACAATGGGCTACAATGCAGTAACTATAAATACTATATCTACACTTCCTGATATGGAAAGCTGTCAAGGGTATAGTTTATGACGAAGGAAAACTACAAAACAGCACGTATGATAGGGTTCTATTTACCAAACATTACATGTATACATACGTGTCTGGAAGGCATTGAGAACAGTGATGATTGCTGTCTACCTTTCTGCATTATTTTAATCTTTTATAATGAATGATTTTTATAATCAGGAGCAATAAGATGGTATCTTTCAAAATAAAAACTTCAACAGAATTATAAGTTCATATATAAGATTTTCTTTAAATTTAAATATAACAGTATGCATAGTGTGATTCTCTATATACAAATTCAGATGTACACGTGAATATATATACTCAAGAAAACCAAATGGAATCACATATCACAAATTACTACTATGGATAATGTTGAGATGAGATTATGAAAATTCTTCCTTTCTTTTTCATAGTCACACCCACCAAGATAATAAAAAGATTTCTGCTTTGGAGGGGAGAAACCAACCTTATAGTTAGAAAAAATTAAACCACCATTCTAATCAACCAAATTATATCAATTATCAATTAATTTTTTTTTCACTTTTCCCCATGTACTAAAAATCAAGTTTTAATTATAGTGAATGCTAAAAGTTACACTCTAGTTTTTCACTTTACAATGCAAGTACATCTACCATGTTGCAAAAATTATTTTAATTACCACTGAATATTTCATTGAGTTGATACAGGTTGATGCATTTAACTATATCTAGGTTATAGACACTCCAGTTATTTTCAGTTTTCAGTATGATAATCAATCTTGCTCTAAGAATCTTTACACATAGCGTTTTCACTATATTACATATTACATATATTTTCTTAGGATAAATGTCCTGAAATGGGCTCATGAGTCAAAAAGGATGATCACACTCACGTATACACAGGACTTTGTTCTTATGGCACTGCATATCTTTATGAATTTCTAGGACATAATTGACATCAGAAGTCAGAGTTCTGCCAACAATTAGTTGTGTGACTCTGAACAATAGCTTTAACCTCTATGGGTCTTAATTTTTTTAGTTTGAAGAACTGGATAAGGTGTCATCAAAGATTTCTCCCATTTCTGAAAGTTTATTTTATGACTTTTCAATACTGCAATAATTCAAAAGACCAGATGTAAACTCTAAAGGAAGTTCCAAAACAATGGCTCAAACATGTTTTAAGGAATAAAAATCATGTTGATGAGCCTCACAAGGTTTCTTTGAAGGGAACAACACTAATTTGGATGTTTAAGGCACATTTATTCAAGAGAAAAGGAAAACCTATAAAATCAGTCTTCATTATTTTAGGGTACAAAAGACAGAGAATCAGGAAAAGGGAGAGAAAGATGAGGGCTTCGACTTAACTCTACATATTTAGTTGTCTGCAAAGTGAGTTCAGCCACATCACTCACTCTACCATCAGCTCCTCAAGGACACTCTGGATGGCACCTGTTGCTATCTCTGGGCAGACTATGTACTGGTTTCTTCACTAGGAGATAAGCTGTCTCTCATCACAGACTGCACAAACTATTTCTACAACAATTTACATGCAGTCATTCTGGGTTTGAATCCCACATCTGTCACTGGCTATATGGGTGGTAGGCATGTGACAACTTCTTTGAGCTTCAGTTTCCTCCTCTGTAAAATTGGATAATAAATAATAGCTACCTCATAGATACTATGTCATAAAGATAAAGATCCTGTCTGTTAGGCCCTTAGCACAATACCTGGCAACATAGAAAGGCCTCAATAAATGTTAGCTGCTGTTAGATAAATGTCTAAAATACTGAGGTCCTCAAGTTTTTTTCCTGTTTGTCCAGAAATTACCATAATGGCCATGGATCTTGACCTGTGGGGAATAAAAAAAGTCCCTTTGGGGGGTTGTACTGGGAAAAGGGGTAGAGGTAGTTATGTAAACATTGAAAGAGCCCAATGAACACTAACCACCAACCCTCAATAAACAGAATGCATAATATACAATTTCTTCTATAACAACCTTGACTTCAGGCAGATTATGATACAAGAATTATGAGTAAAACAAAGAATAAAGACCAAAACAAAACCCTTTTCCTGATTCTCTGTCTGGAGTCCACAACACTGACTCCAAACTGCTGGTATTTACCCTCTGCCTCCTCCAAGTCTTTTTTGTTGGCTAACAGGATCGCATCGCGTTGGTCCGTCAGCAGATCAGCCAGATGATGAATAATCTCTGCTCTCTAGGAAGAAAGGTAAAACATTAAACAAACAAGCAAACACATTAATCCAAAAAGAATGCACGCCTGCTCTTTTAAATCTACCTTCTGAGTGTGCCAGGCCTTGCTCCTAAATTCAAGGTTATCGGTAACTGAAATTTTACTTCATATCATTCATTTTCCACCACTGCTCCTCTCATTTTTTCCTTCCTCTCTCACTGCTAATCTCCCGATCTCTTCTTATTTCTCTTCCTCTTTAACCACTCCTAATTATTATGATAAGCAAACTGCGGCCCAGTGGTGGGGGAGGGGGCATGATGAATTATACAATCATGAGACAGGGCCAGCATTTTGAATCATATGATACACACATTTCTACACATTTAATATCATTAGCTGTATACAGTTCATTTCCCAGGTAAGTTTTTGCATCTAGTTTTTCTTTTTTTGACAATTACTTATTTTCTTTTTTTGACGATTAATGAATTGAAAGGGGAAAAACCAAGTCCTGGATGCCTGCGAAGACCCCAACCTCTACCCACCTAGATTAGGAAATGTGAGTAGTCAGCATGATGGTTACTGAAGGTATAAAAGTGGTTTAACAGAGAGAGAAGCTAGGCTCTTCTTTTGTTCTTCTTTCTCTACTTGTAGTTATTTTATATTCTCTTTTCCTTTCTCAGGCCAAAGTACTCCTTAGAAGAAACCTGTACACATCACTCTTGAACCCATCCATAACAACTCAACCCTTCGGAAGCCAGCCCCCAGCTCCCACATGACCTCTCCGCATTTTCAGCTTCGTGTCTGCTACGGTGACTGATTCACTGTAGACAAGGCAGGGCTTTGACTCAGGAGCAGGCTCATTAGCTTCCATCTTAGGGGTTGGTTAGGTGACTGGGATGGATTGGATGAGTAATTTTCCTACATTTCCATGCCTAGTTTGTGGCAGGATTAGAGCGCCTCCTCGGTCTCATCATTTTCATGATGTTTTTGATCAAAACATCATAGTGATGAAAAGCTACCTTAAGCATCAGCTTACAAGAGTCAACAGGGAAAATAAAATTTAGAAAAAGTAAAAAGGCAGAACAAATCTGAATGGTAACTTGGATAACTCTGGGGGACATGAGGAATAACAAGGGAGACGGCAGGCCTGACTATGTATTCTACACCTCACAGCATGACTCACTCTGAAAACTAAGCAAACGATTAGCTAGGGCAGTTACCTGCTCCGGTTCCAAAGTGGCCAACATCCTTCCTCCTGACCGAGCCATTTCTCCCTGCTGCTCAACAGTAGGGCCTGCCAGAACATTTGCAAACATCAGATCATGGTCAGCTTAGTTCCCGGTCCCTATCTCAGCACATACACAGGCTCACCACATGCATGGACTGTACATCTGGTGTCTTGGTGTCCTTGTTGCACAAACAGAGATCACTCTGGCCAATAAAATGGCTAAAAAATATACCAGATTAACTCAGGCATAAACACAGGAAACTTATCTGTATTTCTAGGGTAAACAACATAACTTATGTCTTTAGAGATCTTTTCAATTCCACTTTGGCTATTTTCTAATGTGTTTGGATTTCGGAATGTCGATTATAATGCAATTCTATCTTTGTGGGCACTTGAAAGCACATAGCATACATCTTATACATCTTTGCATTTCTAGTGTTTATTAGTACCTGGAATCCAGCATGGACCTTGCAAATGTTTCTTGAGAAAATGGTTGCTTATATTCTTTAACTTAGTAATTTTAGAGAGACTAGAAGGCCTAGTTAGGCATGTTAAATTTTCCAAATGCAAATCAAAATCCAGTTTTACAAACAGTGTTCAAAACAATACTGTATTTTATAACATAAGCGCATTAATTTGTGATCCCTGTTCCCACAGTGAGAACTCAGTCTTCAGCCCATTCCAGGCCATGGCATCACTAGCTGTCATCCACAGACCACGGGACTCCACGAAGAATTACTTACCTGCAGGCTTTACTTCGGAAAAGAAGGTGCCAACTTTCTTTCCTTCCACAATATCTGTGATGACGTGCCCAGACACCTTTGGGTGGGTTCCATTGGCAATAACCACAGAAGTGCCACCTTGCAAAGCCCAGAGGGCCGCTTTCACCTAATGTGAGAGGTGGGATCCAAAGATGAGATTCAAACCTTTGCAGGCTCTAGTCACCCGCACTTTTAACTTGCAAAAAAGATATAAAATATAATGTGATAATGAGCAATTAAGTATATATAGTAACGTTCTGAACAGCTCAGAAGCTCTGAAAACACACTCAGCCCATGTACTCTTCCAGCCCAACCTTGGCGAGTGTTGCCTAAAGATGACCCAGTGTGTTCAGTGTGTTCTCTCTCCAAGACTCTAAACCAGGACTCACATTTCTACATTTGACTTATTGTGTCTCAACTCAGTGTTTAGTCTGTTGTTTGACCAGAGTCTGAAGCTGAGTACTTTTAGCTTTTGTAAATGGGGCTTATTTTCATCTCTGCCATTGCTACATATGACACTGTACATTAAGGGTATAAGTTCTTAGAACAATTACTGGGAGAGAAGAATTTTTGAAAGATTTCATCAAGAAATATTTTGAGTTGGCAACATGAGGAGATTTAAGAATTATGAAAAATATACAGACCTTGTCCCTGAGTTCATAATATGAACACACTTTTTATATAATGTTAATAAAAATATATATGCAGATATGACTAAATACAGGTACACAATATGCATTCAGTATTTAGACATGTATGTATGTAAGAGTGTACGTGCCTAGTATCTAAACCATTATTCCCCAATTACAAAAGTAAAAATGATAAAATATTATCTTGGTTTTATAATTGTTACAGGTAGTACAGGTACCAGATTCTTACCTTGGCTTCCATGCCACCCAGTCCCACTCTCGACTTGGTTCCAAATGTCACAGACTGCTGATCTCCGGGATAAAATATATCAATGAGCTTTGCATCATCAGACCCTGGGGGGCTGTCAAAGAGGCCTAAAGAGTAAACAAGAGTCGATAATACTGCTTTAATGGAAGTGAGTATCCCCCAAGACAGGCCTCCCAGACACCTGCCAACCACTCTGACCTTGACTTATCCGGATAGATTCTGCTGTTCCACCAGCTCTAACCAGAAAGAGAATGAGGGATCCCTGGGGTCCACCCACATTGGAAAACAGATCCAGGGGGACTCACCTTACATACTTTTATAACCGGGCTTATTAAATGGATGTTTGCCAGCATCAGAGCATGGGTACACCCTTGGCACAGAATTTATTAGCCTTGCCCACAGTCTACCAGGAAATTGTTCTCACCTCAGCCATTGCTACTTATGATGATGAACTTTAAGGACGTTAACTGAAAAAGATGAGTGGCTATTGCAGAAATAATACAGCAGGCATATACTGTTTAATGTGACTGTTTCTGAAGGGATGAAATGTGACAGGTTCTCATTAACTCTCACAGTACCCTAATTATCTGCCCCCATATTATGGGTGAGCCACTGAGAAGGTCAGGCTGAGTCAGCAGAAGAGCGAATGACTACTGCATTCAGTCTAGATTTATCACCACAAAGCCTATTTCCCTTTTATAACTGAGTGACATAAAAGTTACATGAAATGTTACATGCATACAATCCAAGATTTAAAATCCTCACAATTTTACTTTGAGCAAGTCGGAGTCTTGGAAAGGGAAAAGAGGGGCCTGAGAAAATAAGAGTCCCGGTCAAGGCCAAAGGGAGGAACAACCCCTGGTTGGGATTGGCTAAAGGACATTTAGGGAAGTGATGCTTTTGGTATGAAGTTACTGCTTTTCTTGTGCTAAAATATACCCCTTTGCTCCATTACTACAAATCTTTAACACAGCCCTGCTATACACATCCTCTCCAGGAGAGTACGGGAGTCAGAAGCCAGAGGAAATCGTGTCCAGCACAAAAGAAGGCAGCGTGAACCACGTGCGGCAGTTAGAGGGAGAAAAGGAACCTCTCGGAGCCTCTGTCAACCTCGACCCAGCCCTCCACAGCTCCCAGGATTTAGGGTGAGTTCTTCTCAGAAGGCACTGTGTATTGAGGTCACGGCCTTGGATTCTGAGGCTGTTTTGGTCTCATATAATAAATATTATGGGCAAGGTTGGACAATTCTAAGCAATACATTCTCCAGAGATGTCAAAAGGTTCCCAGCATTCTGATATTTTGCCTACTTCTCTTTTTCCTTAATGGCAGCCTCTCAAACCCAAGAGCAGTGTTAAAAGTCTGATATTGTTCTAATAATCAACATTCAGTAGATAACCAAAGAGTTAAGAGCACAAGGCCACTGCTGGCCAATTTTGGTGTTTGAGAATGCATTAAAATTGTTTTACTAGAATCTAGTTCAAATTGAGCTCATGTATTGATCTCTCAAATTCACATCCTTTACCTTGACAGGCAGTACAGGAGAGAGGGAAGTGTGCAGATTTTTTAACTGAAAGGAGATTTAAAACTGGCCTCTGCCAAGTACTAGCTGTGTGACTTTGGCTATACCATTTAACTGATGTGAATTTAATTTTTAATTTCTTCGACTGAACAATTGCGCTAACCTACCTACTTTGCATGGTCGCTACAAGGATTAAGTAAATTGACATTTATAAAGCACCTAGCACAGTTTTTACACACAGCAGAAATTTAATATAAAATCTGTTGATTAACCAAAATGCCTTCTTCTCCAGGTGGGTCACTCTTACCCCAAATTAGCCATTCTTATCCTGAGATTTGAAGTTTACAGTGGATAAACATGGCTCTAGGCCTTCTTACAGGTAAAGACACTGACATGTAAGTATGATCTCTCTGACCTTCCACATGGGCAAGGAACTGATCGATCCATCTCTTGTTGTCCCTGCCTTCACCAGGCAGTCTCTATCCTTACCTCATACTGCTAGAGTACAAACTGGAGAACAAGTCCTGCCACGTTAACCTGCCTTGGGGATGGGCAGGGAACTAAACGGTTTTTCTCACCTCCTGGGAATGTATAGGGGTCTTTGGGGATCTTGTAGGTTTGGTCTATTTTTGAGATAGCTACCATATATATTCCTTATGGGACAAATGTAAATAGGAAGAGCTTTAAAAAGTGAGAAGAGTGAATGGAGAGTCAAACTGGAGCCAAGAGGGGCCCCTCCATAAGAAAGGGGAAAAGGACTAGAGTAACATATAAGAACACAGTAGCCATACAGTCTGGATTTTCTGTAGTGACTCCAATTTAAAATAATCCGTCTCATGAATTACCTTAAAAACTGAAAGTGATCGAAAACACAATGATGTATCACTTCACACCCACTAGGATGGCTATAATCAAACAGCAGATAACAAGAGGTATGTGTTGGTGAAGATGTGGAGAAACTGGAGCCCTCATACATTGCTAGTGGGAATGTAAAATAGTACATCTTTATGTCACTAAGGAAATGGTTTTACATGGTTAAATGGTATACGTAGTTTGGAAAATAGTCTGGCACTTCTTTAAAAGGCTAAATGTAGACAGTTAACCATATGATCTAACAATTCTACTCCTAGGTAAAATAAAAAAAATGTTCACACAAATACTTGCACCTGAATGTTCAAAGCAGCATTAGTGTATGACTTCATTTACATAAAATGTCCAGAACAGGCAAATCAATAGAGACAATGTAGACTGGAGGTTGCGTAGGGCTGGAGAATTTGTGGGGAAGTGAGGAGTTACTTCCAAGGGGTATGAGGTTTCTTGTTGGGGTGTTAAAAATGTTCTAAAATTGTGGTGAGGGTTGAACAACTACATTAAAATACTAAAAATCATTGAATTGTAAACTTTAAACAGGTGAATGGTATGATATGTGAATTATTTCTCCACAAAGCTGTTACAAAGAAGGAAACTAAAGTGCCTGGAAATGATGACGTTTCAGCATTTAAACTGCATCTCCCAGACTCCCCCACCTTCTTCTGAATCATAAAAACTCTTTGTCAGACCACATGGTTCAGAAAATAATGGCCCACAGTAACAAAAGATCAGGACTCAAAGAAGGAAACTCATGTGCTCATACACATAGTATTTAAAACAAAGGCTGGATAAAGGAAAAGACATAACTTTGTACCTTCTACATCTGAAAGAACAATCAAGAGGTCAGTTTTCATTTCCACGGCCAGACGGGCAGCCAGGCTATCATTATCTTTAACACTAATAACCTGGAATGCAGGTAAAAAGTCATAAGTGAATGAGCTATACAGTTCAAAAAGAAGTTCACAGAAGCATTCAGTTAGGCTCTGGCAGGCAAAATTAATGACCCTGAGTAAGTAGATAACAACTTTTCCAGGCCCCTTCTGCCTACATAACACCATGCCTACTGGCAACCCCCCTTTCCAAACATGCACCCTTCTATCCACTGACATGCATAAGCCATGCTCATAGCACCATCTTAAAGCACTATCACATCTCATCCTGTTGGAAAAAAAAAAAAACGCTGACTTCAAAGAGTTTATGTAGCTTGCCCACAATACCGCATTCTTTCCCAATTTCTTCATCTTGTTAGTGCCAAACTCCTGGTGTCAGTACATGCAGCAGAGCGTGGCATTAGTATCTCCATATGCTCAACCCTTAGGAATACTTCACCCACATTTACCCCCTGGAGATCACTATTGGGCTCAGCTGGGGGGACAACAGCATCATTTGTGTTGATAATAGGGACGATGTTCATTCGGAGGAGCTCATGAAGTGTCCCATTGAGGTTCCGTCGCTTCTGCTCATCGTGGAAATCCAAATTTGTCACCAAAATCTAAACGAGTTAAACAGATTAAAAACACAGGAAGGAGGAAAATGATAAACTTCCCAGGAACAGCATACAAAAGACGCTAAGACCGGAGGAGTTAAACTTTAGGCTTCTGAGAAATGTTATCCACTTCTTTCAGAGATGGGAAAAAGGTGAGAACCCCTTAGAAGATTTAAAAATGCTCAAAACTTCTTGCAAACTTACTTTAATCCTCGGAGAGCACCCAGATCTCAGTTCTCTCATAAGAAAATTAATGTCTCTACTTTAGAGGGGTACTGGTGAAAATAAAGACTGCCATTAATTTCTAAATAGCATCTGACTAAGAGTCTGAAATATCTGGCAGATGAGTGAATGAATCGTTTACCCTGCTTGGAAAAGTGATGAGACAAAACGGAACAGGGCTGTGTTGTTCCTGCTCTGCAACCAACCGCTACCAGCATTAACGAAGACTGTGTGAGCGTGTGAGATTATTCTGAGAGATTTATGGAGGGAAATCCTTAGTCACAAACTGGAAGAAGGGCTAGACATAACTTAGTTCAGGGGAGGGGGTGAACATATGCTGCTGAAAGGCAGAGTGGAGAGCTGGGTGTGGTAGCTGTTATCAGCCCTGCTCCCTTGCTTGAATCTGAGTATTTGGCAATGTTTAGCAGGAGAGAAAGGTAAATGGAGATGACAGCAAGAAACCAAATGGAAACAAATCCTGACACTCATGAATAAATGGTTTACGGAAATCTCTCTGATATTCAAGTTAGAGGATTCCTGTGGTGTAGGGCAGGCCAAAGCAGGAAGGTTGGAGGCAGACTATCAAGAAGGAACGTAGTGAAACAGAGTAGCAATGGCTACGCCCTGAACTTGGGTCTGGATATGGTAACTGAGAAGATAATGACAGCCTGAATGACATATACAATGTGGGTGAAGACAAAATAGTAACACGGCTAAGGGAAATAATTCACTCACTTATTCAATAAAAAATTTATCGAGTACTTCTGAAATGCCAGGCCCTGTCCTAGCTGCTGGGATGGAGAATAAAAATGTTGATAGTTTGAGGAAGATGGAATGGGGCACATTTTTGTAAGGACACATTATGAACTTCTTTTCAGAAAAGTTTAGTCCTGTAGAAACAGGACTGAGTCAAAGATGAATGTATAGATTTTAGTCCTGGTGGTGAAAGGTCGAACAATAAAAATAAACGTGTGTGTAGGAGAGGCAAGTAGGAGGAATAAAAGTCCAGTGAAAATATCTGTTGCTCAAACAATTTAACAAACAAGAGGCCAGAGATAAGAACCCTAAGAGAAAAGATGTGCTTGGAGAAGGGCAGTGTGTTAACGCAAATTCATTTCAAAACAAGTTGCTGCACTTAAGTCTTTAACCTGAAAAACAACTTAGTGGAGACTGCCAGAAGCCACTGAAAAGGTCTTCAAAAGAGACCTTTTTTCAGATGAGGAGACTGAGGCATATAAAGGTTAGTAATGAAAACAAGGATAAGGTACAAAGGGCAAAAATTTCCTATAGGTGAGATCACTGGGGAAGGCAAAGAAGGAGAGAAGGGGCCCATGGATGGATGCTTGCTAGAAGCTGAAGGGGGCGGAGCTCTTTCCTAACGTTATTAATAAAAATAGTAGCTGATGAGCACTAACTTTAACACAGCTTTCATTAAAACAAACCAACCAAAAAACTTCAAAAAGCGTAAAAGCTGGGAAAAGGCAAAACAAAAATGCAGTTCCTGGACCTAAGTTTACTCATTAGACTCTAGGCACTTGTAAAAATTAAGGATGAAAACTGTCAATGGATAGTGGCAGAGAAGAGAACTGATTATTAATAAAAGGTGAAAGATCAAGATTTTCATTATATTTATGCTAACAGAAAAAAAAAATCTAAGATTACACAGAGTGGGGTCCCTGCCTCTCTGCTTCAGCTCACTTTTTCAAGGACGCTATGGCATAATACTAGAACATTACTGTAACAACTGTGAAAATGATGGAGAAACAGAGTGATAGGAAATGGCAGAGCAAAACCTGAAAGTATGTATATAAAATAACATTTGTGGAAATGGATCAGAGGCAGAATAAGAGTTTGAGAATAATAACTTGGGGAGTTAAATTTTTTTTCTGGTGTTTTGTGATATTCAGATCTTTCTTTTTAGTGTATAGTTGTTTAGTTGATTAAAAATACAATTTAAAAAATTCTCAAAATTTAGGTAAAAAAGAAATGATATAGAAAGATGGTTCTAGAATATTCAGGGGTAAATACTAAAAATGTATAAGTTTCCTGAGGACTGGCACCATGGCTGATTTGTTTACTACAGTATCCCCAATGCTTAACAGGCTCCTTGGCACACCACGGGTGCTCAATAAATATTTGTTGAATGAATGAAAAACCAACCAACCACCAGCATTCCTCTTTCCTTTCAGTGCTTAATAGATACGTATTAGCTAAGGCAACCAGGTGCAAAGTGAAGCAAGCAACCTGAATTTAAAGATGCCAATGAAAGACACTTTCCTATCTTCAGGAGAAGTATTAGTTCTTGTAGTATAAGTACTTGTAGTAGTACTAAGAGTTATTAGTATAACAACAAGAGCTGATACTTTTTGAGTGTACTACGTACCAGACACCTCATTAAATGCTTTTCATGTATTTTCTCGTTAAGCCCTTCCAAAAACCCTCTGAAATAGGCACTAATATCCTCATTTTTCAGATGAGGAGACTGAGGCATATAAAGGTTAGACTTAAAGACTTTCTCCAGATCTCCCAAGGAGCAAGTGGTGAAGCCAAGACTATCTCCTAGCAGTCTATCTCCACAGCCCTGCTCACAATCCCCTTGCTCCATGGGAATCACCCTCAGGGGTTGCATACACTTTGCAAAGGCCAGCCTCTCACCTGGGCAGCACAGATGCTGTACTGGGTAAACATGGCTTCATACAAGGCCATCAGTCCACTTTGTCCAGCGGCTGCACAGGCTCGGGCTTCTAAGACAGGAATCGCCTGTAACACACCAACAGACAAGGCATGCTTGGAGTAAGGAACAGAGGCTTGAGGATCTATTACAGGGGATGGGGAAGCAGATCTCACCATCTCTTTCAGCTGGTTCTGCCCTGAGTGCAGGGCCTGCCGCACACTCTGAGACAGAAGGATCTCATGGCGCAAGCGTTGCCTGCCAAAGGCTACGGCTCCACTGGTTACCAGCATCATCTCTCGGCCTTGGTTCTGTAGCACTGACACCTGACATTGAGGAAGGAAAAGGTATCACTAGTTACTTGCAATATCTCTTTCCTCTCTTCACAAGAAACTCAGGTAGGGTGTACAATTGAGTGGCTCCCAAATGCTGGCTTATGGACCAGCACTGGGCTAGCCCTAGAAAAGTCACCAAGGTTGCTTGGTAAAAATACAGATTCCTGGGGGGTTATTTTCTAATTTTTTGTACATTTGGAACAGTGACAATAAGTGATCCTCCATAAAAAATACAGATTTCTATATGCTGACTCAAATCTGGGAAGTAGGTGGCAGACAGAATTCAGAAGTTTATAACAAGGAATTCTGGTGGCATCCATAGGTCTTGATGGTATCTGCTGGAGTCTGATATCTGCAGAAGGCCTAGTTACAGGAAACAGAGCCCAGAAAAGAAGTCTGGAGCTAGGAGTCGCGACATAAATTTAGCAGATGGCTCAAATTCTAAGACATGAACTGGGGAGATGAGGCTGTTTCTCGGGCATGTGTGATCCCTATGGGCTAGGCCAGGGACAGATGCTGACCCTGTTCTGCTCTGTCTGCCCAGAAACAGCTATGGTCACTTTGTTTCCTACCTTGGACAGATCCACATATTGTCTAAGGTGGGTTTTGTGCGACAATGGCAGAACTGAGTAGTTGAGACAAAGAACATATGGCCGATAAAGCCTAAAATATTTATCATCTGCCCTTTAACCGAACGAGTTTGCTGATCCTTGCTCTTGGCAAAGATTAAGAGTAGTGGATTTGTGGTATGATGTTTAAAGTCCAAAATTCCCATTGTCAACTCCCAAGGTCAGTTTCTTTACTGATAATCTGTGTGGTCAGCCTGCCTTGACTGCATGGCCATGGGAGCATTAAACCCCCACTAGAAACTTCTGCTCTGAGCCCTTCCAAAGTCAACATTCCTTGCACAGATCTCTTGTGATTCAATCTGGAGACGGACTGTGGTCCCTGTCTCCACATAAAGACCCCAGGGGGCTTGTGCATAGGGACTTGTCTCTCAGAATCCCTCCAATGTTTGTTTGCACTCTCTCTCTTGCTGCCTTGTATCCTTTGCCTTTAAATGAAAGCCTTATGTGGGTATTCGCTGTGGAGTCTGGTGAGTCCTTTTAAATATCTGGATTTGGGAAATCTTTGCAATGTAGTTCTTATTTATTTCAAGATTATTGGGCTAATTAAAAAAGGCCCAGCAAAACTGGGCGGGGGGGATGGGGAAACCTCAATATTTACACACATCCATCTGGGTTCTCAATCCTGACTACATATTAGAGTCTCTTGGGGAACTTTATAAACATGGGTGCTTGAATCCCATCTCATAGATATAATATTAAATAGTTGAGTGTGAAGCCTAGGCATCTCTAGGTCCTCAGATAATTTTAATGTGCAGCCAGGATTAAGAAACACTGATGTGTGTGTGTGTGTGTGTGTATATATCTCAATGTTTATAGCTCCTCATCACTAAGAAGCCTAAGGGATGAACTGCATATATATATAGCATATTTATACATATAGCTCCTCATCACTAAGAAGCCTAAGGGATGAACTGCATGAGATCAACTCTACTCCTTGACATCCCCTTTGCTTGCCTTGGGATGCTGTTTCCCACTGGCATCTTTATTGGGAAAGAGAGTTTTCAGACTGAATTAAATGTCTTGCACTCAAATCAGGAATATTTGTACAAACCGATAAGCCTGTACTGACAGTTTAAAAACACTTGTATTTTAGTTCAGCAAATTTTCCATTTGGGCCATTACCTGTTCAACAATAGATGCCAAGCGTCCCAGTGCTAGGCCACATTCATCCCCTCGGGTCACCACAGCACTTCCGAGTTTCACCACGATTCTCTTAGCATGTTTCAGCTCACTGCGGTGGGCAAAAGACTTGCCATGTGCACGACTGAGGGGTACAGTGATAAAGGGGATGTTGCTCCAAGAACGAACATGTCTGATGGCTAAAGGCTGGACAGGATCTACAGCCCCCAAACAAAGTCAAATGTGAAAGAAAGAATTAAAGAAAGAGAGAGAAAGAGAGAGAGAGAGAGGAGAAAGAAAGAAAAAACAATATATTTTCTCATTAAAAAGATATATGCACAATATATCTTTAGCCACCAAAAAATAGCTTTATCATTTTGAGTAAAACCAGTATATCAAAAGCCATATTTAGCATGTTCTTATTTCAGTATTGTGTGGAGTTTATATCTACTACACAGGTCACAGGTATACTCAAACGCTGCTGGTGAAGACTGTAAATGAAACCATATTTCCTGAAGACAAGTGTTGGCAAAATATAGCAAAAGCCTAAAAATGTGCACACCTTTTGATCCAGCAAATGCATGTTTAGAAATTTATTCTAAGAAAGTAGTCGGAAATTGAAACAGAGATTCATCAGGTTATTTATCAGTGCTACAATAGGAAAAATCAGCAAACAATCAGCAAACATCCAAAAGCAGGAAAGATTAATAAACATTTTTAGAATTTTTAACAACATAGGAAAATGCTCATGTTTTTGTTTCATAGACATGTCCAAATGCATAGAAAAAAGATGAAAATATATCAAAACGTTAATATTTTATCTCTTGATGGGATTATGGGTGATTTAATTCTCTTCTTTATTCCTATGTTTTCCAAATTTATGCAATAAAAATGCATTGCTTTCATAATAAAAAAAAAAGTAACCTTTTAAAGTAATCACACCACTATTAAAAGAGAGTCTGATTAGCAAAGATAATTAAGAGCAAAGTAATTGGTATGAGTAATAAAAAATTATAACTAATCTACCTATAAAGTTTATCTCTGACATGGCAGTATGGATCCAGATGGCTGTAATAATGATATAATACACTGGATAGGTTTCTGAAGGAATGAATGTTGGAGTCAGATATGTTGGAGTCAGATACTTTCTATCCCTTTGGACATCTACCCCTAAGCAAACTTTTCCTGATTCTTTTTTCTTCCAACACTGTATAAGATTTCTAGGGAGGCAAAACAAAACAAAATAACAAACAAAACAAAAAGCTGAAAATATATCTGCATAAAGCCAAAATGAGTAAGAGCCAAATGTCAGGCAATGAATCCCTTCGCCAATTCTCATGGGTCCAATTATTCCCACCCTTATCTCACAAATTAAGAGATTTCTCGTTTTAGCAGGGTACACTGACACGTCAGAAGACCACATTTCCCAAACTTTCATGCTCAGATATACATGGACATGACATGTGACTAAGTTCCAGTTAATGAGGTACACATAAAAATGTTATGCGAGACTTCTAGGAATATCCTTAAACAGAAAAGTGCTTCCTGAGTGAGATCTGAATCCATGGCTGTCTGATTTCAAGCTGCCACCAGCCACTTTTACTTGTGTCAATTCACGGCTATTATTTGTTCCTAGGTAAATTAAGGTTCACCATCTCAGAGCCCTCCCATTACTCTCTATACGTAGAACCATTCTGACTCTTAGAATCTCTTCTCCTTCTGACCCAATTTTATGTTACCTATTGATGCCTTTTGACTGAAATTACATTAAATGTGGACAAAAAAATGTAAAAAAAAGGAAAAGTGCTCCTTCTTCCCTTCATCCATCCTGCTGCTTGGAACATGGGTATAAAGGCTGGAGCTCAAACATCTATTTTAGACTACAAAAAAACACACTAAGAACTGTGAAGCAAAAGAATGTGGAAGCCTGATCATTTCACATACTACTCTGGAACCCCTGGACTGCCTCCCTTCTTTTAGGCCCCCAGACTTCTCTCAGGAGAAAGAGAAACAGATTTCTATCCTGTTTGAGCTATCAGTTTTGGATTTTTTGTTCTACCCATCTGACCTAATTGTAACGGACACAGAAGGAGATGAGTGAACAGGCAGAGTGGCAGGCAAAGACTGGACAGGAGTGAAGAAGTTGTCTGTGAACAAGAGTTGTTGACAGGTCATCTCACTCACAGCAAATGGACTTTGGCTTGGTGGGATTCCCTGATCGTGAGAAGTGAGAGAAGATGGGCAACACAGGTTCTCAGCAGGACTAAACTTTAGGCATTCCCCACCCCAAGAGTTTTTTTAATCCGTTAAACACTCTCTTTTAAAATTTTATTAGTTTCAAGTATATAATACATTTGTTTGACATTTATATAGTTTATAAAATGATACCCCTAATTGCTCTTTCTCTCCTCTGGCTCTCCACCTAGCCATCACATTAATACTAACTGCATTCCCTAAGCCATGCTCCCCATTCCCATGACCATCTATCAACTACTAATCTGTATTTCTTTAACCCTTCATCCCATTCTCACGGCCCCTCAACCCCTCTCCCCTTTGGCCATCATCAGATTGTCCTCTATATTTGTGAATCTGTTTTTGCTTAGTTTGTTCTTTTTATTCCTTAGATTCTGCATATAAGTGAAATCATATGGTATTTATCTTTCTCTGTCTGACTTGTTTCACTCAGCATAATAACCTCTAGGTCCATTCATGTTGTTGCAGATGGTAGGATCCAAGAGTTCTTTATGTATCATTACAGGCATTAACAAATAGTCGAATGAATTGCTAAAGGCAAGCATTCCAAGCCACCTTTGGACGATTCTTCTAATATTGTACTATTATAGAATAGCTTCCTTCACTTGTATAAACCATTATTACTTCCCTTTATAGATTTCTCGGAATTTCTCTAGACCCACTGCCTCTATCTTCTGACCACTACCTCCTCTAACTATAATCTGGCTTCTATCCTTTTTCTCTATGCTGTACCACTGGTGGATAAAGAGGGCAGAATCTTATTCTTGTGGACCAGATTGCCGCGTGTTCTTCCTGCTTCCTTCACGTACAAATCGTAGAAAGAACATTTCTAATGAAGTGGTAAAAAAAATCCTTCCTTCCCTCTCTTAAATAACAAATTTTTAAAGTGACTATGTTTCAAGTTTGTTGGGAGATTACATGGTCTTTTTTTTATAACAGGCTCACACGCCAGTTCCTGGCAGAAGTTGCTTAGTAAGTCTATCATCTGGGACAGAAATGGTGCTTCGCACCCTTGCTAGACTCACAGGTGGGTTGTCTCTTTCTGCAAGAGGAGTCCCAGGGACTAAAGGACTGGTTTGTTCTTGGGGCTAAGTTCCATGGAGGGCTACCTTTCTTCATTAGGTTCATCATTACTGGTACCCTGGCTCAGTATACAGGGATATTATCCTAAGCAATATATATATATATCTAAGTCTAAGCTTGAAAGCTGTATATATAACAGTTCTGGCCTCACTGACCTGACACAGAGAGGTAATAGAGGGAGAGACTTACTCCCTTGGCGTATGGACCTGGGATGATCATCAGTGGCTGTCTGCAGAGCAAGGAGCTACACCAAAGTGTCACTATGACAGCTCTCAAGACTAGGCCTGCTGGCCATTTTTCTCTCCTGTCCACTGAAGGGCTTGTCTTGTTCTGGAAGTGTGCTAAACATGGGTGGGGCAGCCTGAGAGTGCAACTAAGGGACATAGGTATGGCATGCACGTCAGTCCAGGTGGTCAAATGACAGAAATCGATCAGAATGTAGCAGGGTAGGTAAGCACAAATAAGACTCCTGATGCAGTCTGTATCAGGAGAAGGTGGCTCGGCTCAGTGCCAGGCACTCAAAGGTCACTCTGGAGATTGGCAACTGCGTCAGAGCAGCTCAGGGCTGACAAGGTGCAAGAGGAGGCTACAATTATGAACAAGGTTCAAGCTCAGTCACGTCAGTAGGCTAGAGCACCAACAACAGTTCTATGGGATCCAGGCTTTTTTTTCAACAATGTTTTCACCCTCCCAGACTAACCCTACCTTTCTTGGGGGGCATTTTTAATATTCTGCAGTGCATTATACTTTTAAGGGTCCATACTGAGGACTGAGAAGGCCTTGATGAATTAGGAAAACTCCGATGTTTCTAGATGGGTAATCTCTTCCCATCTTCTAAGGAATCTTTAGGCTCTAAGTCCCAAAGAAAAGCCATTTCCACCTAGTAAGTCTGAGAGGCTACCAAGGTATCATGTGCTGCGGTGGCGATGGTGGGTAAGGCTGTCCATGTTCTGCAAAGGTGCCACGGGTCATAACTCCAATAAAGGAGAAGCCTTTCCCTTTCAGCATCAGAGTCCTTATGCTTTGCAATCAATGAGGCTGTGTTCCAGGCCTGAGCAAGGACAGACTATGACAGGATTTCCATCTCCCTTCCTGGCCTCCCACTTCCCTCTATTGTTTGTATCTATGTGATTTTTCACTTTGCCTTTAATTTCTTTTCCTCTCTTCTGCTTATTATGGTAAGCGAACACAGAGCTCCAGACTCCAGAAAAATATGGATACAAAAATAGGAAAATAAATCTAGGAACAAGATCAGAAAGTACCTCTTTCTGTGAGTGAGGTTACTGAGAACAAACAACAATGTCAACAATAAAGATACTGAAGCAAATACTTATTATATACCAGGAGCTGTGTTACCTATTCATTCTCCTTTGCAGGGCAGATGACAGGTAAAACAACAAGTGTAGGCTCTGGCGCCAGACTGCAAAGGTTGGAATCTCAACTCTTCCACTTACTTGCTATTACCTCAGCTACCTCATAAAGTTGTTTTGGGGGATGAAAAGAGTCAGAGTACAAGCAGGGATTGGCAAAAAGTAAACACTCAGGTATTAGCCAGTATTATAAAAAGTGTTAACTATCACTATTATCATCATCGTTGTCACCTTACTGAATTCTTTTAAGCCTCCCGACTTAGGAACTATTATGAATTATTGTTGTTGTTGTTATTATTATTATTAGCCTCATTTTATAAATAAGAAAACTGAGGCCCAGAGAACTCGAGTAACTTATCAACATTACCAGTTGCAAAAATACCCACAATGCTTGAACCATCTCCCATCAATAGGTAGCGTCTATTTTCCCGCACTCTGAATCTGGGGTGGCCCCATGACTTGCTTTGACCAATGCACTGTAGCGGGAGTAATACTGTATAAATTCTAAGCTTAGGCCTCAAGAGGCCTTGCAGCTTCCATGCTTTCTGTTCTTGGGAACCTGCAAGCATCACGTAAAGAAGCCACGGATAGCCTGCTGGAGGATAATAGACCATGTGGAACAGAGATGATCCATCATCTAAGCAGAGGTGCCCTGGACCTCAACGATCAGCCCTGAGCCAATGTGAGAACACAGACATAGAACTACTCTGAAGCTGAACCTGGTCCAAAATGCCAATTCATAGAATTGTGACTTAAATTCAGAGGTGTTGTTACTAAGTTACTTACTAAGTAGCAGAATTAGTTTTCAAATCCAGGAAGCCTAGTTTCAGACACTGAACTCTTCTTTATATGAATGAGTGAACCCTTACATTCTTCTTTACATGAATGATAAATTACTCCAGATGATAATAAACTTGATTATTTGATTAGTTGATAAGCAAGTCCCCTTTTGGTAAGGCTTGGAGATAGACTATTGATAAGATTTAGGTGTCATCAAGGAGATAGCCAATTCAAAACAAAATAAATAGCCTTTCAACAAATGGTGTTAGAACTAGATATCCCCAGGCAAAAAAACCTAACTATCACACCTTATATAAAAATTAACTCAAAATGACCATGGACCTAAGTGTAAAACTATAAAACTTTTAGAAAAAAACCATACAAGAAAATCTCAGAATCTAGGACTATACAAAGAATTCTAAGGTTTGACCCCAAAAGTACAATTCATAAAAGGAAAAACAGATAAACTGGATTTCATCAAAATAAAAAGAAAAATTTCCTCTGTGAAAGACCCTGTTAAGAGAACAACAAGCTACAAACTGGAACACGTTTTCAAACAACATATCTGACCAAGGATTAGTATCTAAAACATAGAAAGAACTCTCTAAACTCAACAGTAAAAAATCAAACAATCCAATTAAAAATGAGCAAAGGACATTTCCCTGAAGAAGATATACAGATGGAAAATAAGTGCATGAAAAGATGTTTAACATCATTAGCCATTAGGGAAAAGCTAGTTAAAATCGCAATGAGATATCATTACATAACTATTAGAATGAATAAAATAAAAAAGGGTGACATCATCAAATTTTGGTGAGGATAAAGAGAAAGTGGATCGCTCATCCACTACTGGTGTGAATATAAAATGGTATAGCCACTCTACATAAACAGTTTCGCAGTTTCTTATTAAACTACCATATGACCCAGCAGTTGAACTCTTGGCATTTACCCCGGACAAATGAAAACTATGTACAAATAAAATCCTGTACATGAATGTTCATAGTGGCCCTTTTCTTAATAGTCAAAAAAATGGAAACAACCATTGCCCTTCAATGAGTGAATGGTTACACGGTGGTATACCCATACCATTAAATACTCTTCAGTAATAAAAAGGAACCAACTTTACACACAACTTGGATGAGTCTCCAGAGAATTATGCTGAGTTAAAAAAAAGTCATTCCCAATGATCACAGACTGTATGATGCCATTTATATATAATTTTTGGGATGACAAAATTATAAAAATGGAGAGCAGAGTAGAGGTTGCCAAGGGTGAGGGACAGGGAGGAGGGACAGGGAGGAGGGACAGAGAGGAGGAGGAGGATGGCCAGAAAGGAGAAACCCGAAGGGTCCTGTGGTGATGGAAATGTTCTTATCTCGACGCTCTCAACATCAACATCCTGCTTGAGATATTGGGAGAACTAGGTAAAGGGTATAAGGACTGTCTCTGTCTTAGTTTTTTAAAACTTCAAGTGAAACTACAATTATCTCGAAATTAAATACTTAATAACAATAAAGTAATAAAAACACCTGTAAAAATTTGGGGGGAATGAATATAGGTAACACTTTATTTTTTAAAAATGTTTTTAATTTTGAGTTAATTTATTTGACATACAGAAAGTTATAAAAAATTAATGTATACAACTTGATGAGTTTGGGGATAGGTATACATGTGTGAAACCATCACCAGATTCTATGCCATAAACCCATCTATTACGTCCAAAAGTTTCATTTTACTGATCAATACAAACACTAGAACATTTCACCAATGGGCTGTTTCCTTGCTTATTGTCTACCCAATTCTGCTAAATTACTTTTTACCCCTCCTTTAAAATCTTGTTTGAAACACACTCCGACCAAACTTCCCACATACTTTTAAGTTTCCTATGGTACATACTAGATCTGGAGAGAGCTGTACATGGGGCCCGGAGCAGGAGACGCTGGTTGAAGGGCTGAAACCCAGAGCGGAAGACTTGACTCAACATGTTGTGATGTGGTCAATGATCAAAGTACCTGCAGGATGCATTTTTAAAAAAACGAATAATGAAAAATACTACACAATTCATTTTATTTTCCTCCACTGTCCCACACTCAGAGTGAAAACTTAACCCTCCTGCTCTAAACTCCTCTGTATTAGGGAAACTCTCACTTCCTCTGAAGAGAGGAAAAAAACAAACAAACAAATGGCTCCTTACCAGCCTCCAACTCTACCCCTCTTTTCCTAGACCACCTTAGTTTTTATGCAAGCAAATGGCAACTAAGGATTATGAATGTTGAGTGACAAAAAACTTTAAGGTATAGTGTTTATACATTGATATTAAATCTTTAGTACAATTCTTATACCATTAGGGAGTCTCCAACGGATCAAAAACATATCCAACATCCAACAACGGCCATCTCCGCCTACCTGCTATCTCCCTGCAACAGAACTCTGAAACCACATATTTGATTTGTCAGCATGATCCTTGCTAACTCAAGAAGAGGAAAGGTCAGCAGCTGCTGCCATGTCTTTCTTCCTACCATCCACAGAAATCTGAAGCATACTCTTGCATCCCTGGGACAGAGTCACAATGCCTGACAATGGCTGGCATTTTAAATGACTGTAGGCACATCCCATGGAGGATGAATACACCGCTAAAAACTTCAGAGTTGAGAACATGGTGGTTGTGGGCATTTTCCCACTCTAGGTCAAACTTGAGGCTTCAGACAAAGAATAGTTTATTTCACAAAAAGGTAAAGGGCTCTATCCTATACATATACAGAGAATAAGCCATTCATTATTGCAGCTCTTATGCTACAGGGACATTGCTGTTTTTACAAAATAAGAAAAATTCTGCACCTTCTTTGCCTGTGGGCCTCCTCTTAATTTTTGCTCTGTGCTTGATGGACATATTCCAATGCTCTTAAACATGCTTCAAAAGACTAGCATTTAGCCCCAGAGTGAAGAGAAACAGGAGTGGCATGTACTGTTCAATTTATTCTGCGCAAAGTCAGAGAAAGGGGAGAGAAGAGATTGGCAGGATACATCTGTTGTGAACACTTTCTATATGTGATAGAAAGTGTTAAGTGCTGTCCTTGTTGATGCCAGTGTTTGTGAAGTGTCTGGAAGATCCCAAGAGAAAACTATCTGCTTAAAACTGAAGCATGATAGGAGTCTATGGTCTACGTTTGATGCTTGTATAAATTCCTTCAGCAATTGTTGCTAAAAAATTATTTAAATGTGAATTCTCCAAAATACCCATAGAAGAGCCAAAAGGGTAAAATAATCAATTATCGACATTAAAATTCTAGTTCCATCATCTTTATAAACGTTCCCCATCAACTCTAGCATTAAATATAATCCTACAGGTTAGTTTTTAATTGGTTCATGTGTTACTGTTGCGTTTCCCAAGTGGATTATAAACTTCCCACTGACAGCATAGTAAATAGGATGGGGAACGTGAACTTCGGAGTTAGAAAGATTTGGGTTGGAGCTCTGCACTTGCTAGCTTTGTGCCTTCATCTTTCTAAGCCTTGGTTTCTTCATTAGTAAACCAAGGACAATAACAGTAAGAACCTCATGAGATTATTGTGAAAATTAAATGAGACAATACATGGAATGCCTTGGTACAACAGATGCTCAGTAAATGTCAGTTTTCCTTCTTCTGTCTCTTGGATGCTAATGATATCTTATAGCTATTTCTTTATTTCCTTCAGGACCTGTCAAAGGCACAAAGAATTCAATAAAAATTCTCTGATGGATATGAAAATAATCACGTTACACTTATTGACTGTTTACTCCTCTCTTATCTAAGAGTAGCTGAAAGCTCCGAATGTTAAAAATCATTAAGTTATTAGGCTGGAGACTGACCTAGGAACCAAGCCTCCTGTCCTCTCCCCTTACATCGCCTCTAACTGACCCCTTCCTTACTGCAATGGATGACAGTTCATCCTGCCAAAGTTTATTACAGCCTCAAAAAGCAAGACAGCTGATTCCAGGGAGCAAATGGGTTATGTGTGTTTGTGCGTGTGTCTATACTCAATGTCATCAGGTGAAAAAAGTTTCCATGTTTTGACTCAGGACATTTATCAAGTACCTCTTTATATGTTCTAAACAGAAAGTCCTTATCTTACTGATTTGGATGAAGAACTGAACTTTAGTCCCAACAAACTTCACCGAGAAACGCAAGCTCGGTTATGGTTCACTTAAAGACAAAGACTCGATGATAAATCTAACCGCCTCATCGAGAGCAAGGGATAACAATGGGAGAGGGGGAGATCTGGCAGCGCCCTGATGTGCCAGGAACTATTCACAGACCTTATGCCATACTGCAAAAGGCGGTCGAGCGCGGATTCTCCGGCTGCGGGGGGGATGGTTTTGAGAACAGGATCACGAAAGCCAGACAGGTCGGGCCGTAGGGAACTGTACACACAGGGCCTTGAGAGTCAGCGTGAGGCCAATTATAAACCACGGTAAAACATCAAAACCAGGCAGGTGCATTGCAAGCTGGATCCGGACTCCCGTACCGAGAAAGGGTCCGCCGACTCTTCAAGCCTCCACCTGAACCAATTCCTTCACTTGGGTGTACACATGGGCGGCCAGAAAGGTCGGGTGCTCGAAGTCCCCGCAGACCTTGGAGCCCCCGCACCCCGGCATATAGATCGCGCCGGGGCCGTGCAACGAGCCCTGGGAGGTCCAGCCCGCCGCCATCCCTCGGCGCGCGCCCATGCCCACTCGTGGATCCAACCCCGGGATACCTGGCTCCTCCTCGGGCAGCGCCCGGGCAGCCCCCACCGTCGCCCGCGGCCCGGCGCGCACGCCTTCCCTCGCCTCGGCCCCGGCGCCGCATCAGCCCCAGCAGAGGCGCCGGCGCCTCGCCATCCCCGCGGTCCCCTCCCCCCGCCGCGTACCTGCTTCAGCACCGCCGCCACCGCTACCGCAGGGCCCCGACGCCCAGCCCAGAGTACACGCGGGTGAGATTCTGGCGCCGGATTACTCTCCTTTTTCTTCCGTCCACGTCCCGAAAGATGACGTTACGTCAGCGGCGTAGGAGTAAAGCCAGGGCGCGGGGCCTCCGCTGTTGACGTGGGGCTAGGGGCCGACCCAGAGCTGCGCCACGGCAACCGCGTAGGCGCCTTCTGAGAATCCGGTCCTCGCTCCACGTGGCGAGCCCCGCCCACTGAGGCCCGGGCAGACGCCGGGAGGCGGGGCTCGAGTTCTCTTGCAGGTCCACGTCCCAGGAGGGGCCTAAGGGAGTGTCCAAGAGCCGACCCATTGGGCCTTCCAAGGAGGCAGAAAAGATCCCTCAGCTGCCGATTGAACTCAGCAGGTGTGTTTTTCAGTGTTGATCAATATATCCCAGGCACACCTTGAAAATAGGTTGAATCAATGTACAATTAATTATCTACAGACCCACACTCTCTGCAAACTTCTAATGTTTAAGTGGGAAAATTTTGGCACTGCGATTAAATGATTTGCCCCCTAATCGTCTAGCGGTTTCAGACCCCAAGGGTCCCAGCCCAGCTCTCATTCGGCAAGAGTACTGGTGAGAATATCGCACTTAAAAAGTTATATTCAGTCCCAGACAATTGGAACTATTCCAAAGGTGAATAAGGATCCATCCTTAACATTAGAGCTCAGTCTCCTCTCCTCTCCTACTTGCTGTGTATTGCTCAAAGGGCACGTTCCTGCACAGGCACAGACATAGCGCTAGGTGTAGCACTCGAGTGTAGGTCCGTGACAAAGAGGGGCTCGTGCGCCTCTTCAGTAGTAGTTCCTGAGAACATTGCTGTGCCTATTTATTCATTTCTTCATTCATTCAACATTGGCTACTTTACTGCCAGGCATTCCCTAGGTGTGGAGGAAGACATCATCCTCCCCCTAGTTGAGTTCACAGCCTTATGGGAGAGATGAGTATGTGAACAAATGATTACAACACTATGTGATTATTTCTAGAGGAGAGGGTGCCCAGGGACCCAGGCAAGGCTTTTAGAAGAGAGTAGACATTCCAGTTGTGCTTTGAGTAGTTCACCTAGAAGAGGGAGCAGGATCATATGAGGAAGAGGGAATGGAATGTACAGAGGCATGAGACACGTGACAGGAGAGGAGTTTGGTCGGGAGCCACCCTGCATAAAGATTTCTGTGTCATGCTAAAGATTTTGAATTTTATCATCCTCAAAGATAGAGAACCATGACTTTTAAAGTCCTGGGATGCCATGATGTGATTTATGTGTAAGAAATCAGTAACCAGATTTACAAGCTGGGAGGCTGGTTAGCCTATTGCAAAGTCAAAGTAAGAAATGTGCTGGAAAAAGGTTTCCAGCAGGGGGAATGGGGAGCACCAATGAGAGAGGGCTGACAGCAACTACTGTTTGAAAGTGGAAGGGTGAGAGAAGAGGGGTAACTGCAAAGCCAGTGGTGCTGCAATTCAGTGAGTTAGGAAATAGATGAGGGGAGCAGTTCTTTTGAATAAAGGATGAAAACACCAAACATGTTAAGTTTTGAGCACTTTGAGTTTGAAGAAGAGTGGGGGATACAAAAGAAATAAAACTGTCCTCTAGTTTCATTTGGTACTTCAGCTTTTTTTCTCATCATGATCTTAGAACAAATGAGGTAACTGTGGGTATAGCTAATGTGTTCTGAACCCACACATCACCTTATGGTGATTATTCATCTGCCTTCTCTGTTAGAATATTAGCTTTTAAGAGCAGGGAAGTATATTCCTGGCATGTAATAGACACAATAAATATTTGACAAATGAATTAATTCTTTTGGGCTTAGTTTTCTTAAGAAATGGGCTAATAACACTGTCCTTGTCTATTCTATATACTTGTCTATAGGGTTGTTAAGAGGATCAAATATGAAAATCCTTTACATTGTCCAAACATTTTATTACTGTTATTTTACTTTCATTACTATTTTACTATTAATATTCTACTTTAATAAAGAGAAAGGAGTGGGATATGACTATGGATTGGGAAAAACCAAATACCAGAATTATCAGCTAGTTGCCTTTCCACAGAAATCAAGGAAATGATTTACCAATGGTATCTTTCCTGCATGAGTTTTAAGCGATTTTTTTATTTTTATTTTTGATTGGAGGGATTTAACTTTTGTTTCAGGAAGTGGAAGTAGGACTGGATATGACCAGAAAGTAATGTAAGAAGTGTACTATTTAGAATTAAACTATAAAAATGCAGGATTGAGGACTGCTTCTTTACATGCTGTAGAGTACTGGGTTTACGTTTTTTTAGTCGCAAGTTCTTTGTTAGTAACAGACTTATTCAAACAAGGGAATTTATTAGAAGGAGTCTTCAAGAGCAGGAGGGAAAATTGGATCTCATAAGAGGTGAGTACAAGGAACTGGAAGCTAGGAACCAAGACTATCCCCCATCTCTGGGTTTCTTATTTACACGTATCTCTGCACACCTGCTTTTTTTCCCCCTTCCTTTTAAGAGAGACTCTTCATTAGTGAACATTTGGTGGAGAATGGCTTCCTCAGCCCTAAAATATCCTTAGAGCTTACTCCCAACTACCTTCTAGACTTGGTCCCAGTTTCAACGTCCTAGAGATATAATCTTACCAGCATAACTTGGTCCAGAACTCCATTTTTGGTCAACAGTGGCAGGGAGTGGAAGGGGCACTCAGGTGAACACCAAGGCTGGGCCCACCCCTTCGACAGAGTGCTGAGTGATGGGAATTCTTAGAGAAAAGGGGTTAGGCTAGATTGATAGATATATTACATGAGTTGGCAATGATAGGACAAACACTTAAATGAAACCAGTTTCAGCTACACTATGCAACATCACTTTATAGTTTCACAAACTAGGCTGTATATCAGAAGCACTAGGAAAGCTTTTTAAAAATACAGATTCTTAGAGCCCCCACTTCCCACCAGTGAATCAGAATCTCTAATGGCATGGCCCAGGAATCAGCATTTTTATAAAGCACCCCCCACCAATTATTGATGTAACTGGCTTTCAGAACCCCTGCTTTAAAAGACAGGCCCAAAATGCTAAACAAATACATCAACAGAAAAGGGAAGTTACTCATAAATAAGGAACATTCTTACATGCAATAAACATGGAGGTTCTTTCTGAAGAGCAAATATTTTCTTCAAAATATAGTTGTATTTTCTAATCATAAAAATCAGAAATGCTTTTTAAAAAAAAATTTCCAATTTTGACATGTTAGCCTTCCACACTTTTTGTTTGCCTAAGTACACATGTATAGATACTTTCTGTTTTACAAAAATAGGACCACAGAGTATATGCACTGTTTTGTAGTCTTTTACTCACTGAAAATGGTTCATGTTTTCCTATGGCAATAAAGGCAGCTTTACTCAATGTTCAGTGGTTGTACAATATTCCAATCTATGGATATTATGTATTTAACTAATCTCCTATTGTTGGACACTTTTCCCCCAGATGATGTCTAATAAATGAAATTGTTTGGTCAAAGTTCATGAATATTTTAAAGGCTTTTCATACATATTAAACAGCTACTTGCCCTTCTCTCACATTCTCACTAAAAGTATTTGAGAGTACCTATTTCTCCACACCTGCAGTGGGATGGCTGGGATTTCAACCTAATTCTATCCAAATTGTATATACCCCTTTATAGCAAAACTTACTTCTTATATTGAATACATGATTACAATAGAGACCTTTTGTGCCATTAGTCAAATAGCTGATAACTTACTTGTATAGACAAAGGGAGGGATCTAAAGGTAGGGAACGGCATTGTTGTGTAGATGCTTTAAAAAATGTTCTGAAGGTCTGGTACAGGGAAGCGACTGGAGGTAAGATGACCACAATCAGCTTTCTGTGTAGTTTGGAAACCAGGCTCAAAGCTAATCAAATTAGCAGAGGCGTAGAGAGGAAAAGAACACCTGAGGTGTTCCTGTTTTGGAAGAGCAGATGTGCTGATTCCTGGTGTAAGATCTCATACACTACAGTTTAAAAAGGCACAGTAGATCACAATGAGATCCCATTTCACATCCACTAGGAGGGCTTAAATAAAAATACGATAACATGTTGGCAAGAATATGGAGAAACTGGAACCCTCATAAATTGCTAGTGGGCTTGTAAAATGGTTCAGCCACTCTAGAAAGTACTTCGGTAGTTCTTTAATAAGTTAAACATAGTTACCATATTGCCCAGCAATCCCGCTCCTAGCACAAAACTTGTACACAAATGTTCATAGCAGCATTATTCATAATTGCCAAAAGAATAGGAACAATTCAAATGTCAATCAACTTATGAATGGATAAATAAAATGTTATATTCATACAATGAAATATTATTCAGCCATAAAAAGGAATGAAGTACTGGTACATGATACAACATGGATGAACCAGATGAACCTTGAAAACATTAAGTGAAAGAAGCCGTACACAAAAGGCTACATACATGTTGTATGATTCCATTTACATGACATGTTCAAAGTAGGCTAATCTATAGAGACAGAAAGTACTTTGATGGCCGCTATAACCTAGTGAGGAAGGGACAATGGGAAGTGACTGCTAATCAGTTTGAAGTTTCTTTTTTTTCCTGTTATTAAACATTTTTATTAATTATAAGATTAACCCATTTATTATGTGGTTTTTCTTTGTCATATTTTTTACCTTTAGAAATATTTTTGATATTTTGTTTTGTCTTTTGTTTAATACACACGCAGTAATTTATAGGAACAAATTCTATTTGTTCCTATAAATTAAAGCCTATATGAGGGCTCAAGAGAAACTTCTGCCCCTCCTAGAACTTGAATTAGGGACCCATAACAAGAGATTATCAGAGATAACCTCTTTTGACATCTATAAGGCAGGAAAAACTATTTACTAAACATCTGTTCTTATCCTCCTGCCATGACCCTTTGAAGACCCCAAGATGTCTTATTTCATCCCTAGCTAAGAGTGTCTTATATACTCATTCTGTCTCTGACTCTTCCATGTATGCAGGGTTCCCATATATATGTATGCGTTACATTTGATATGCTCTCCTGCCAATCCATCCCATGTCTACTTGACTATCAGACCAGCCAAAAGAATTCTGAGGGTAGAAAAGTTTGTTCCTCCCCACAGTTGGTGCTGAGCAGGACAAACTTACTTGCTGGAATACTGCACTTCCCCACGTGGCTGCTGCAGATGAGATGATCTTGGGGTACCCAACACAGGCAGGGAGAGGGTAAGGGTTCTTACCATGTCAGCATGCCTCCAGATCTGTCTGCAGAATCATGGGGTTTCTTTTTAGGGTAATAAAAGCACTCTGAAATTAGTAAATCCAGAGGGTAGCTATTCCCAAGTTCACCAGGGGGACGGTAGGAACATGTTCCCTTTGATGTTGGGCCAAAGTGTGCCTGTGGGCAGATAGATGAAGATTTTGCAAACCTTTAGCAGGCATAACACAACCTGAAGGGCTGGAGGAAGGGCTCTTTGTGTTCTTGCCTGCTTGAGAAGTATAGAACCTAATGTGTTCTTAGTGTTCCGAGGGTACTAAGCAGAGAGCGAGGATAAGATACTTTTATTGCTGTTCTGAAATCCCTTCTCTCATGTACAGATTCCTTCAGTTAGGTTCTCTATTATCCTAAATGCTTTACAGTCATTAGCCAACATAAGTAGGCTGCCGTAAGACTTCCCATAGGGAACACTGAAATCTGATTCTTATCCTTTTTCACTTAGTCTCTAGGCTAAGAAGTCCAAGTAGTAAGATACACAGGATAAGGATGGGAGAAACTGAGCCTTTTTGAGAGTCTACTCCTTTGCTGAATGCCACTTTGAAAGGAAAGAAGAAGTCGAATGGCAATTTCCAGTCCATTCGAGGTTGGCCCCGTGGAGGCTCTGGCTTCTGGGTAATGTCCACGAAGGTCACAATAGTTGTCAAAGATACTTCTGTTACTTGTTGGGAATCCTGCAGGAAAAAAGTCCATGACAAGTCAGCAAATAGCCCTCACTTTCCCCAATGAAAGACCAAAACCAAATTGCTCTAAGCAAGACATACCATTTTCTCATATTGGTCCTATGTAGTTCTCTTTCTATGAGACACAGGAAATGAATTTCTTAGCAACAGTCCATGACACCCGAACTATGGACAATTATACCTACCTGAAGACTGACTGGCTTCCCCCGACTAGGGAGCTGCCTTATATCAGAGAGGCCAGAAGGCAGAACTGCTGCTATTCCATGCTTAGCAGCTCTACCTTATCAGGTCCCAGAAGGCTCCAGTCTCTGAAACAGTACACATGTACTAGTGGAAGTAGTAGAAATTTGAAGTAGAAAGAAATTTGAAACTTCATAGAAAATGCAAAGAACTCAGTAATGTAGTTTAAAAACAAAAAAACAACAAACCATCAGATTTACATATTTTCAGTTAGAAAGGATTCTCCTAACCACCCACCAATTCAAGTCAAATAAAACAGATGATCCCAGGAGGAGAAACCCTGTCAAGCTGACTCAAATATCTGATCTAATGGACATAGCTTTTGGTAGATATGGTTGCAGTCTGGTGACTGGAATCGTGTTTATCTAAAATGAATTCCCTTTGTTCTAATGTGCTCAACAAGCAAACTTCTGATTATAATTTGACAGTAAATAACTATCTTCTTAAACCAGAAATGAATATTTTCTCCATTTACCTACCTTCACTCTGATTATTTGCTGTGGTTTTTAGCAATAGCGAATACCAACCAGACACTGGGAACACAATTTTCCCCAAAATAATCCTTCTAGGAACTTTTTAAAAATGGGTGTGGGGCCACCGCTATGATAATCTTGCATGTCATACTAACTCTTTGGATTCTATTTTGTAAACAGTGAAGCCTGTGAGGGACTTGGCATAAGAACTAATGTAACTTCTGAGGCACTGTAAAAGCTACATACGTTGCAAGGACAGCCAGCTTAGGCTGAAGCTGCCAAGGGAATCCTGATTCCAGCAATCAAGCAACAACCCCTTCCCCACCTCAAGAAGAGATTGTACAATTCAAACCAGAGAATTTTTGTATTTAGAGATGCTGGGCATAGAAAAGGGCGGAGTGAGGTATAGAACAAAAAATAGGGCAATTACCAAGTATAATGAACTCCCTTTCCCCATCTAGCACCAAGATACTGACAGATGGTCTTTTACCCATACCCTTCAGTTAGAAGGGTCTTTTCTGAAGAAAATTCAGTTTCAGCAAAAAGACACAAAGATACATCTGGCAGTTCCACAATCCCCAAATCAACTGTATCTAACTGCCCTATACTAAAGGCTGCAAGTCAGTAAATCTCACTCATGATCACAAAGCTTTTGATCTTAAAAGCTTACTCTTATTTTGGATAGACACCTAGAAATTGCTGGGCATGTGGAATAAGCTCATACATTAGAAAAACTCTACCAAATGGGAAGAATAAATAAACTCAGAGGAAATGGAGACAAGGAAAGATGAAGATAAAAAGTTGTTAATACCTTAGAAGATATATAAGGATGTTAAGAAAAGAAAAAGAATAAGAAAGAACTCTTATATATTAAAAATGTGATAGCCAAAATAAAAAAAAAAAAATCAGTAAAAAGGTGAAAGACAAATGCGAGGAACTCTTCTAGAAAGAACAAAAAGCTAAAGAAATAATATGAGATAAAAGGAAATAAAATTAGAGAATCAGTCTAGTGACCCTGGAACAGATTAACAGGAGTTCCAAAAAGAGAGATCAGAGAAAATAGTGGGAAAGAAATTATTAAACATGTCATTAATAATAATTTAAAATTATCAGCACTGAGTGTTCAGAGTCAAAAATCCCATGAATTGTTTGGTATGATAGATGAAGAAAAAAACTTACCCAAGGCACAATATTGTGGAAGCGTCAGATTACTAAGAGTAAAAAGATCTTAAAATGGTGTCTGAACACCAGTATTGGAAACTAGAGGACAATGGAAGAATGCTTTCAAAATTATGAGTGAAAATCATTTTTCATCTAGAATTTTATACCTAGCCAAATGATCAACTGTGGATGATGACGATGATGGTGGTAGGGGTGGTGGTGATGGCTGAATGAAGTTATCTTTAGATGTGTGAACTAAAGAAAAAAATGCCTTTTCTCAAAGGGGTAATTAGAATATGAGCTCCACCAAAACAAGAGAGTAAACCAAGAAAAAGGAAATAGTAGTGTCCAGGAAACAGTAAATTTAACACAAGTGAGAAGAAGAATTCCCAAGACGACAATTGTTAAGTCCCATTACGACTGCTGGGCAGTAAACAGTCCATATTACATTGGGTTATGGAGGACTCTGCAGAAAACACATAGGAAAGGTAGAAGTGATAACACTATATGACAAGTTCAGCTGCATTGAGAAATTTTACAGAGTGTGAAAAGTCTTAGCCATTAGCTCAAAGAAAAGTAAAAAAATGAAATAGGAGGCAATTATTAATTTCAGGAAGAATAAAAAGTTTCACAAAGATTTAACTCCTTGGATCAACATACTTACATAATCATAATAGTGAAACACTGAATATTGATTTAATAAAACATTTTGATATAACTACATTGGAAGAGTAGTGAGAGGGTCAGGAGGAGACCAAAAGAGGAAGACAACAGATTATCTTTAAACTCCTGAGTCAAGAGATAACAGAATAAAATATTGCTTAGAAATCAAGATAAATGCCAGAAGAAAGATTAAAAGAGTTTAACAGGTAATTTCTGGAAAGCAGGATGGTGAGGGAGATATGAGACTTTACTTTTTGTTATTAGATCCTCTTTTCTGGCAGTTTTTTGCCTTTAAAAATATATGTCTGTTATTTTGATAAATTAAAATTTACAATTATTAATTCATTTGACAAATCATATCGTTATCTAGCATTAGCCTAATCTTCAGGGGAACTCTGAAATATAAAGTAGTCTTCACAGTCCCAACAACTTGTGTCATCCCAACCCAGTGCAAGGGAGTTGGGCTTTCATATTCCTTCGCCCTTAAGTCAATGGTTAAAGACCGTCTCAGAAATGTATATTTCTAGGCACTCTATAGGCAAATTGGATTCAAGTTGCTTGAAGATAGCCTTCTAAAACAAACAAAACAAGGGAAGAAAACCTTAGGAATACATGCCAAATTTAAAAAAAGAAGGAGGGTGGTGAGGGGAACTGGGGATAAAAAAATATAAGGGTCACTGTGAAAAGCAAAATTATATTTGTTAGTCAATACGGTATCACATGAGATATAAAAGAACTGAACGAAATTCCAAAACTAAAAACGTACCCATCGTCCTTTACTCATTTTCTCTCAACCTCCATATCCAACCTCCAATCCAAGTCCTACATGTGACACCCTTAAATTTTCTCAACAATCTACTTCCTGCAGCTATCACAGCTCCCTACCTGGGCCCAGGTTATCAGCGTCTCCTGGTGAATTTCTGTAACAGTGTTCAAAGCTTCACTTCAGTATTGCCCCACACCTTCCATAAGAACAGGGACAAAGTCTATCTCATTTACCATGCTATGCCTAGCACCAGGCATGGTACATGGCAAAGTAAGCACTTGATAAAGATTTCATTTTTGACAAATGAATAGAGGTATTTTTGGAAACAGGGAACTAATATAAAGTAACAAGAGATAATAGGTCACGAGGTAGAAAGTATGCCATAGCTATTTAAGAGCCGGCAATTATAGATCACTTTGACCCCTTATCCTTCCCACTACAATGTCATTAGGATCCCTAAAGGTTGTACGTCATTCATATACTTATGTATTTATTAACTAACTTGTCAGATGACATGCTTATTCTTCATATATTAAAAATATTGCCTCTAAAATTGTGTGTAGGCTTAGAACAAATGCAGTCTAGTAGATAACACCAACTAAATTAAAAAGAACTTTGAATGCACTTGCCAGGTCACTGGATAATAATGATTGTTATTGACCCATTTTAGAATCTGCTTTAGTACCACATAAAGAACAAGCTTTTGGAGTTCAGTTCAGTGTGTTATATTTGAATTCTAAAGTCTAAATTTTTTTCCATTTGCATTTTAAAAGTTATGTATAAACAAAATGAGAGAATTCACTGTTTAGCATGTGCAGCAAGAACACTGAAAAAAAAAAAAACCTAAAAAAAACAACCCCAACAACCTCCCTCAAAGTCCAGTCATCTCATCTCTTTTATCGAGTCAACAAAAGGCATATAGCCAAGTCAGCTCATTTCTTTTACTAGGGATCCAGTTGTTATACATGGTTGATTTAATTTACTTCTACTTTAAACTATTTTATGATGTTTACTTCAGAAATCACCACCAACAACACTATTTTAACATTTTGTGAGGTTTAGGAGACATATATATATATATATATATATACCACTACTAAAAATAAATATATATATATATTTTGGCTTCGGTTTACATGCAGCAAAATCCATTGTCTCAAAATAAGATTTACTTTGTAACAACATGAAAAGTTTAGATTGGTTTTGTTTGGCTTTGGTAATAAGAAGTATACTCTGTATATTACTACTTTACATTTACATAATCTCAGTTTTTAAACTAGTATATGCTAATCTGCATGTCAAATCATTACAAATGAAAACTATCATTATCAGAGAAAAAACTGTGGCTGCCATCTCTTTGATTTATCTTTTGTAGCTACATATTTCAGACTCAGGTGTATAACTCATTAATAAGCTGTTAGAATTTTTTATTCTACTACAAGAATTTTGTCAGGTACATGTATTACAAATATTTCTCCCCATTTTTCTTAAATGTCTTTTTATTTCATTTTAACTTTTTTATTGAGGTACTATTTTATATGTGAAGAAAAGTACACATAAATGTTCAGTTCAGTGAGTTTTGCCAGTTGTATATGCTATGTAGCCAACACCCCAAACAAGAACTGGAATATGTCCATCTTCTCAGAAAGTTCTTTTTTGCCTCTTTTCAGTTTATTCCCTGCCCCTTTCTAAGAAGCAACTACTTTCTGACTTTTGTCACTAAAGATTAGTTTTGCCAATTCTTCTGCTGCATACAAGTGGAATCTTACAGTGTTTTTTTCAAGTGATTGGCTTCTTTCACTCAAGATGAATGTTTTTGTGATACATCCATGTTGTTTTGCATACCAGTAATTCATTGTTTTATTGCTGAGTAGTATTCCATTATGTGAATATACCACAATTTGCTCATTCTTTTGATGATGGGTAATTGGGATTTTCCAATTTTGTGTTATCACGAAAAAGGCTGCTGTGAACATTCTGATACAAATCTTGTCTTGGACATATGTTTTCATTTCTTTTGGGTAAATATGCGGGAGTAAAAATTGCTGGGTCATGGGGAAGGTGAATTTGTAAAGACCAAGAGGTTATACCATTTTTCATTCCTATTAGCCATGTATGAGAATTCCAATTGTTCTATATTCTTGCAACATTCCATGTTATCAATCTTTTTGATTTTAGCTATTCTAGTAAATTCTCTATTGAATATTCTGAGTGCTGTCTTGTAGTTTTAATTTTGTATATCCCTAAGGACTAATGATATTGAGTACCTTTTCATGTTTATTGGCCATTTGTCCCTTTTGGTAAAAAATTTGTTCAAATCTTTGCCCGTTTTGTTTTGTTTTTGGTCTTTGAATTTATTTTTAGGCATTCTTTTTATATTCTGGACATAAATTTTGTCCATAATGCATTGAGAAATATTTTTTCTCAAACTGTAGCCTGCCTTTTCATTTTCATGATGATGTCGTTTGATGAGCAGAGATTTAATGATTTTTGTTACCCGTCCAAGAAATCTTTGCCTCCTTAAAATCTGCAAAGATATTTTCCTATGTTTCTTTTAGAAGCTTTATGACCCTGGATTTAAGGTCTATGTATAGGTCTATGATCCAGGCGTAAGTACTTTTTTGTGTATGGAGTTAGTTGATCTCCCCTCCCCCGCCTCAGTATGTTTATCCATTACTTCCAGTTTTATCTGGCTGTTCGAGCACCTACTGTTTTTTTAAAAAAGTCCTTTTCCCATTGAATTGATTTGACTTGTGGATCTATTTTTTGGACTCTTTATTCTGACTATTTGGTCTATTTGTCCTTACACAAGTACCATACTGTCTAAGGTTTAGAGTAAATCTTGAAATCAGTAGAGTAAGTCTTCCAACTTTGTTGTTCTTTTTCAAAATTGTTTTGGTTGTTCTAATTCCTTTGCATTTTCATGTAAATTTTAGAATCAGCTTGTCAATTTCTACAAAAATGCCTGCTAGGATTTTTTTGTGGGTTTGCATTGTATCTACAGATCCATTTGGGGACAGATACTTTAATGCTGAGTCTTCTACTTCAAGAACATGGTATATCTCTCCATTTATTTAGGTCCCCTATAATTTCTCTCAGTAATGTTTTATAGTGAAGTGGTCTTAAATACTTGTTCCTAAGTATTTCATGTTTTTTTCATGCTAGTGTAAATAAAACTGAATCAATTCATCTTTAAAATAACATCTAATTGTTTTTGGATGTTTTCCTAGTGACTTTAAGGAATTTTACTATAAAAGCAGTAAAATAAATTTGTTAAAGAATATAGATTAGTGAAAATAAGAAACACTATATTTCCATCACTAAGAATACCACTATTAACATCTATGTCTTTATCTATCCACAAAACATCCATATATGAATTACCAAATGCTATGTAGCCAACACTATTTCAGTGTTTTGTAATTTGCTTTTAAAAAAAATTAACCTAACTGTGGGACGTGAACACACAATGTAAATATATATATGCCTTACTGTTAAAATGTTCAGCTGAAACTTATCAGATTTCATTAACCAATGTCAGCATAAAAATTAATTAATTAATTAATTAACTTCTACCTTGTCATGTTAGTAATATATCTTTCTAGCCAAAGTATAGTCCATATTCAAGTTTTCCCAACTATTGCAAAATGTGTTTTACAATTGTTTGTCCAAATCAGAATGCCAATGCAAAAACATGAACTGTATCTCTTTGTTATATTCATGAGTCTCTTTTAATCTAACACAATCAGATATGGTGATTTCTATTATGATGATTAGAATTTATTTAACCATAAAGTACATTGTAAGGGCCCGTATAAATGTAATTTTTCCTCAAATAAGTACATTATTTTTAAGGAGAAGTCAGCTTATATCTGGCATTAGCACTGATTTTAGGAGAATTATTGATTTAAATAAAATTAAATTGAAAATAATAATCTCTGAAAAATAATTAATGAATTATTTATATATAACATAGTCATATGACTCTTTAATAATGGGGACACAATCTGAGAAATGTGTCATTAGCCTTTTTCCCATTTAGAAAAAAAGTGCGGCTTACTGCCAGCATTAATTTCACATCACGCATAGGAATGCTACATTTTCTTGGATTTGACATTTTTTCTTTATAGCAATTACTATACTTTGTAAATGGAATTACTATACTTTGTAAATGGAAATACCACTACTAAAAACAATGCTATAAAACTTATAATATAAATAGAATGATGTCATTTGTTTCCAAAGACTACTGATATACTAGAGCAATGTGAAAATAATAATAAAAGTACATTTCATGGCAAATTTTAATGGTAAGGTTAGGACTGTAGTCGGCAAGTAACCTTGGGGTAAATGCTGCGGCCACAAGTGCTGCTGGTGAGTATTCTGGGGCAGAAGGGGAATGGGTTAAGCGATTTCATTGTTGTGCAAACATCGTAGAGTGTACTTATACAAACCTAGATGGTATAGCCTTCTATTGCCTATTTAATCATGATTGTGGCAGAGGCTTCAAGAAATCAATAAATCCCTTGAAACTATATAAAGAATGTGTGTCTGTGCATTTTTCTAGTAAAGGAATAGCTTTTAACAGATTCTCAATGGGGGTCTGTAAGATTAAGAACCACAAAAACAAACTGGCAGCTAGCTAGACTGGCAGTTTTTCTAGCACATGCTATTTGATTGAGGTAACACTGACAACTTCCAGTCATAATGAATAAAAGGCATTTATTAAAGAAAACAATACAATTAGCTTTGAAATGTAGTCAGAGATATATTCTCTAAAAGTGTTTTTCATATTGCAAATTGTGACTCCTTAGTGTCTGGCATTTAAAAAATGTTTACAACATACTAAAATTACTTATTTTAATGAAGCGCAATCAACCAAGAATTGATGACTACAAGCTAGTCACAGAAGTAACTTTAATAGCAATCACAAGGCTCAGAGACTTGGATAAGTGCGTGACTATCACATTGAATACACACTGGTATGATAATTTAAAAGAATTTAACTTGTACTATATTCTGGATTCAGGAAATTAAAAATAAATAAATAAATAAAATGGGGAAAAAAGGATATAAATTGTATTCACCATGACAACATGCTAATTTCAGTAACCAGGCAGGGAGGATTGACTTGAAAGTTGTATAGCCAAATATTAGCTGGCAGCATAAACTGACTCTCAGAAGTTACAAATGATCTGGTCATCATATGGTTGACAGACAGGTTTGCAAGGGTCAGTGGCCTTTATGAGCCATGACTTACCTGTATAGACTGGCACTGGTATAGGAATCGGGCTCTCGACACATGAGCTTGTGGATTGGACTGGAGGCCTATATATGCCCACAATACCTGAATCTCCAGGGAAACTGGTATGACACAACAGGAAGTACAATGCAAAGCCTGCAGAAAGATAAAGAAGCAACTGCTTGAATTGCTGATGGTTGCCATGCATTACGTAGCTACTATTTCTTAAACATTATCTAGTGACGGAGAAGGCGATGTGGCTTAGAGAGAACAAAAAAGTTCACAATAGACCATATTATTGTCCTTGATCTTAGGAAAACCAATATTCTAAAACATGAGCCCATGTACAATAGTAATAAGAAGTGGTGCATAGTCAGTGCTGTGGAATGTCAGAAGAAACAGCCATTTCTGATTGAGGATGGCTTCATTGAACTGGAATGAGTAATATGTGACTAGAAGAAATGGGGATTAAAGGAAAATTCAGGTAGAGAGATGGCATATAAAAAGGTATACAACTAAACGGCACAGGATGATGCCATGGAGGGACATTCATTGATTAAAGTGAATAACAGTTACTGAGTATCTCCTATGTGTCAGGCACGTTCGAGGTGCTTGTGTTGAGCAAACCACTTGACTAAAGCAAAAAACTTGAACACAGGAGCAGTGAAAGGTTCAGGAAGAAGACATTTTGGTGTTAGATTATAAAGTCCAACCAAACAAACTGATTCCAGGATTAATTCCAAGATGCAGGAAGGATTGATAGAAGTGAGGATATCAATCAGGAGGTTACTATAACTTAGCAGATACAAACTATTCTCAAATATTTTTCTAGCTTCATACTTTTTTATAGTAAGGCTTAGACATAGGCAATAACATGTATAAACTAGGAAAAGGAGCAGACAGACTGTGTTTAATTTATTAAGGAACTCTCAAATTGTTTCCCAAGTGGCTATACCATTTTGCAGTCCCACCAACAATGTCTGAGGGTTGCAGTTTCTCCACATCCTTGTCATTAACCAGCCCCTTCCTATATTCAGCCATGTATCACCCAAAACCACACTCCCTCAGTGGCTTTGAGGTTTATAAGAACTCAATTTGACTTCGGTTGCCTAAGGACTGGATCATGGGTAAGGATATATGTTTACTTATCACCCCAAATCTCCTTAAAAGGAAAAGTTTACAAGGAATAAAATCATAATAGTGCTGAGAAGGAGAAAAACGGCACTTTAAAAATAATCTCTAAGGTGAAAGGCCTTTCAAAATCGGACCTAAAACTCCAATGTAAAAAAACCTGATAAATTTCACAACATAAAAATCACCTTCTACATAGCAAAAAATACCATAAATAGTCAAAAGACAAATGACAAACTGGGAAAAAATATCTGCAAATCACACCACAGAAAACTAATTTCTCAAACATATAAAGACTTCCTATAAATCATAAGAGCATTAATTCAATAAAAATGGGCAAGGGTTATAAACAGATCACAGTGAAGAAAATATGAATTGTTCAACTATATGTCAAGATACTCAACCTGACTCATAGAGAAAAATAAAATGTACTGGGATGCTATTTTTCACTTATCAGATGAGAAAAGAAAGATTAAAGAGTTTGGTAAGATAGTATTGATAAAGGCATGAGATAACAGTCTCATAGATGGATGGTGGGACTGTAAATTGGTACAACCTGTATGGGGAATGAATTGGCAATATTTATTAATATTTTAATGCATATAACTTTAATCTAACAATTCTACTTCTTTCTAGGTTTTATCATATAGGTTTACTCTCACATGTATAAAATAGTACCCAAATAAGGCTATAAAATGCCGCGTTGTGTATAATAGCAAAAGGCTGAAAACAACCTGAATTTCCACCAATACAACTAGTTAAATAAAGTGTGGTTCATCCATATAATGGAACACTAGGCAAATATACTACGTGAAGAATGGGAAGGCTTATTATGTACCAACATGGAACAAACTCTAAGATCAAGTGAAAAAAAAAAGGTGCAGAACAGTGTTTATATCATTTGGATTAAAAAATGAATATAGGAGTATTTACTTGTGTGAGCATGTATTATCTATGGAAGGAAAGAGACTAACTTTGGTTGCCTCTGTGGAAGGGAAGAGCTGCCTGGGAGAGAGATTTTTATTTTGTGCTTTTTGAACTTCAAGACAAGTATTTCTATTACTCACAAAGTAATTTAAATTTTTAAATAAAAAGAAATAAAATTAAATATAATTAGCTGACTGAAGTGAGGAGGTAGGGGGAAAGCAAAAGAGGAAGAAGACAGAATAGCACAGCAGATTTCCTTGTTTTACTTAGACTGGAGTCCAGAGATACACCTGCTAGGCACTGATCTTGTAGGCCACCAGAAAAAGTAAAAGCTGAAACAGCTAAATGAGGTTACTTCCAGGGCAAGGTGTTGAGGTTTTTACTTTTCATTTAATGCCATTCTATATGGTTTGAATTTTAAATCTGTTAATGTATTTTTATTAAATATAAGTGTAAGAATATACATTTTTATAACAGAAAGAGCACAATTTCAATCTCAAAAAATCGGGCTGAACAACATTCCAGAATATAAGAGAATATCTGAAATATATATAAAATATACTTTTTTTTCTTACTATGAGTAAGGTTGATTTTGAATCACAGAACAATCTCTAGATTTTCTACCTTCAAATTTTTTCCCAACAAAGGAAAATAAGTTAGGTGTAAACCTAACCTGAGATAATAACATCAAATGGGCATGATTTCTTATATTATTCTTCTTCTAACAACCACATCAACTAGAGAAATAGGGCTGGTCTTAATTTTAATATCCATAATTTACAAACAAAAGGGGAAAGTAAGTCTCGGTCAGAACATGTATTTCTTTCCTTACTGAAACACTGCAGTTCCTACTGAAGATCCTGGTCCACTCTCCCTTCTGGGCTGCGTCAGCATTACCAAAGATGCCAACACGCTCCGGTCTGGGCCTCCCATGAAGAGTCTCATACATTTCCTGCTGCAGGTGGCTGCAGTCTAGCTTTTTCAGCCTGAAATTAAAAACCATGGAGGCTGGAGTCCAATGCTAACATAATAATATAACCATGTTAGTATATTAATCCAAACTTTAGAAATAATACTATAAAAGAGAAGAAATAATCCTTAGATACAGAAGACTGTCAGAAAACTCTTAGCAATATTAATATTATTTAGATTATAAGACTATTCCTTACCAGCATTCTCTGAACTGATGCGAAATGATGCGAAAGCAAAGAATTACCTGAACTTGCATCCAGACATTGCATTTACTCCAAACTGTACTTTGTGTCGCTTAACAGAGCAAGTTCCATCCCCCCGGCTCTGCAAGAGGGTCATCTGAGGTGGAAAGCGATGGTCAAGGAGATAACAGAAAAAAAAGTAGGCAGATTGGTAAATTTATGCTCTCACTGTTTCCTTAACATTAAATTAATATTATCGTTCAAGTCACGATTTTCTTCCTCTAGTAATTAAAAAACACAGAAATAACTAGGGTTTTTTTTTCTGAATATGGTTAACCACACATCAGCATATAAATACAAAAGTTATTAAAACAAAAGTTAGTCATGATCCTCACTTCGGCCAATCTAACATTGTTTTAAAGCCTTTGGTTGCATCCGCATTTGAGAACATATGTATTCATGGTTTGGTAAAGGAAGTCCTGGATACCTAAAAAATGGGGGGACCTTAGATTGGAAAATCCAAAAGATCAGCAGCTGTAGTTTTCTCATTAGGCTACGATAGGCCAAAAAGGATACTGTGTGACTTATGTCATCAGTTAGAGACAAGAGTGGCTTCCCAACAATATAGCCAGGATTTCCACTTCTAGGACTCGGAAGAGAAGCAGCTGAGCTCTGTTGAAAAGCCTGCAGAAAGAGTGAAGAAAAGTCACTTATGGAAAAAAAAAAAGCATGCTCTCCCACCTTCCACTGCTTGGCTTCATATGCAATGCAAGAAGTTGGCTGCACTGAACAATTGGCTTCCTTCCACAGTGTAGTGTTTCGCAGAAATGTCTGCTCCAATGACTTTTCCTGTTTTTCCCCCTAAAGTATATCCTGAGTGATCTGAATATTGAAATTCACTCTATCAATTCACTACTACTATGTTAATATGCTACTTCTGCCAAGGATTATAACCAAGGATCTATCAATGCTGTTTCTCAAAAATTACTATCAATTTAGGGCTATGTTCAGCCTGGATGAAAATGAAAGGAATTTAAGTAATTCAGAAATATATTTTAATTAACTATAGATGTTCCAGAGATGAACTCTGAGAATCATGAGACTTGGATGATCAGTTGAGGGCAGAGTTGGGAAGAAAATGGACTCTGCTGGGTTCAAAAAGAAGAAGAAGAAGAAAGCCAAAAAGTAGTGATCAAGGTTAGAAAGTTAGATTAAATGGGAAATGAAGAAAATCATCACATTATATTTTTTACATGTTTGTAAATACACATAGGCAAAACCTCATGCTCATTATAGCATGAAGAAAATCATCACATTATATTTTTTACATGTTCATAAATACACATAGGCAAAAACTCATGCTCATTATAGCGTGTAAGAACAAATAAAATATAAAGAGTAATATAAAGAGTAAAAGTGAAAAAAAAAAAACCTGACTGAATGCCCGAGAATATGAGAAAAGCTAGTTAAAGCATTTCTGTGCGATGCTGGCTGAATATACAACTCAAAATGACTATTTAATACAAGAGTTTGGACTTGACATTGAAGTCCTGCTTTGCTGGGGGCCAGATAGAGAATGAGAGAAAATGTTAATGAATAAACATTACTGAATCCCTATTACTTATGGCTAAATTATGAGATATTAAAAGTTGAGGCCTCCCTCACCTGACAGCCTGAACTAGGCCTTCGAATTCTTACTCTATTTCACATGTGTTACAGAAGCAGAGTAACTATTTCTAACCCGATATGTCTTCCCCTCTTAATCCCCCACAGAAGTGCCCTAACCCTGAAGCGAATGATGAACTGCTGCTGTAAGGAAGTGCCTGGCTCGACGGTCAGGTTGGTTTGTCCAAAACTGACAAAGACTTTCTGGATTCCAAAAGTCCCATTGGTCTCTATCTCATAGATGACCTGAAACACAAAAGTAGAATCAATTAATAAAAATTATTTAGCAGGCCAATTATGTTTAAGACAGATGATTTTCTGTCTGTAAGAGTTTTATTATAACTGAATGAGGGTATGACATGGTGACTATGGTTAACAATACTGTATATTTGAAAGTTGCTAAAAGAGTAGATATTGAAAGCTCTCATTGCAAGAAAAAAATATTACTGTGTGGTGATGGATGTGAACTAAACTTCCTGTGGTAATCATTTCACAACATATTTGTATTTCAAATCATTGTATTATACATCTAAAACTAATACATCCTATAGCAATTATATCTCAATAAAAAATAACTGGAGGGAGAACAAATAAGTAATCTTAAAAAATGCCACACATAAATACCATGAAAAGATAAAGTTGACTTCATATTATATCTATACATGAAAAAAGAGACTGGACAGAGCTCTTTTAAAGAGTTAATGGGAGAGCTGAGTTTATGGTAAAAACTGAAGGAGAAGAAAAATAAGTTTTGATTGTGTGCAGAGGAAGGCAAGTAGAAGCACACGCAGAGGTGAGCATGGAATGGAAACCTGGTTTACTTGGCTCTCTCCATGTCTGAGGAAGAATAAAGATAGTAACTGGAGATGGAAGTTATAAGCAATTGAAGGTAACCTTTGATTTCTGAGCACAGTCTTTAAAATTATGCTTTAAGATAATTCTTAGTTCTGTAGGTTGATTAGAAGAGAGAGAAGAGGAGAAGAAATTGATTAGTCTATTTCAGATTTTCAGATGATACTGGCTTTGTCAACAGAAGAAAATGTGGTCAGTAAGAACCATGATAGACTGAATATGGACAAAGAAAGAGGAGTCAGAAATAACCTTAATGTTCTTAATGGGCATGAAATACTGGAGGACGATGCCGAAACACGGCAGGGAGGAAGGGGATGGGCTCCATTCTTGACATGTTAAGTTTCCGGTAACGCACAAAAAATTCATGTGGGGTTGGTCTGGTATTTAATGAAAGATGAGGCACCTCAGTAATGTTGAACAACATACATCAGTCCAGAACCTGAGGTCAGCATCCCTACCTGGGAAACAACATTCTGACACGTGTTTCCAGCCAGCAGAGGAGAACGAGCTTCTGAGACAAGTGTTACAGGAACCTGGAACTATCAAGGGAAAGAAGCGAATCAACTAAAATGGAAAGCAGCATTTTCTCTTCCAGCTACATGTCATGCTGAAATAAGCATTTTTCATTTTTAACCATCGCCTGTCTTTATCCTTCCATTGCCAGCCTACAACTTAAGTTCAAGTTATTCTAAATCAGCACTTCTCAAAACATATTTCTCAGAACATTAATTCTATTAGATACAAAATAAAGGTGCCATGGTCAAATAAGTTTTAGAAATACTATGTTCGATACCTGCCTCTTAGAGATTAACAAGGCCCTCGAGCATATTAAAGATTCTAAGAAGTCCACCCTAAGTATAGTGTTTAACTTTAAGTTTAACCCAATGTTTCCCAAACTTATCAAACACCTTTCAAATTCTTATTTCATATACTTATTAATCATATAGAACATTAAACATATGGAAAACATTGTTTCAGCTTCACATTTTCAGTTTGATATAGCATACATATATTTTCTTTTGCTATTACGATCTAAACTGAAATTGCCTCAGATGTAAAGGGACCAAATATTCTCTTTATTTTTTCCCAATAAATAGCATCATACCTTCATATTCTGTGGATCAGTCATACCTATTGGAATCTAGAATAAAAGAAAAACAAGAAAATGGCTATGCATATGCCTTAGAAAAAAATCTCCAGGAGCTTGTAGTTTCATATTTGGGGGGTAAAAAAAATCAACATATTAGAATGATTTGCTTCCTTTCTTCTACCTGACTCTTCTTTATACTAAAATGCCAGGAGTAGAGCTGAGGGGAGGTTGGATAAACTGTGATGCCCACCTACGCTGAGCTAGACCTCTACTGAATGGCAAAAAAGTAGTTTTGGTGAAATAGTGAGATGTCACCCCTTCCATCCTCCCAAGCAATCCGATTAGCCAGGAGGGTGAGAATCTCTTACTGTGGCTCTATAGCCCTAATTCTTTCATCTTTTTCAGATGATAGAGTCTTTTATGTAGCTCTCAGGCATTCTGAATTCCAATCAGCACTTTTCCTACAACCCAACAGAGGGAAGCTTGTTGACTTTAAAACCACAGTGGTGACAATGGGGAGAGAAGTGATACCCACTTTCAAGACTGTGAAATTATAGTAAGAGGCAGCATTGAGGGCTGGATCTGAGGTGCAACTATCTGCCAGGTTCTTGAAGAAACGAGCACAGGTTGTACTTTTACTCTCCAAGAAACCTTAGAACACAAAGAATTAAGGAGGTGGTAAATGAGAAAGTCTATTTTAAATTGAACAAAAAAGTTGGCACTTTTGCTCTGGACTCACCCGCAGGATTGCTTTCAGCACAGAGTCCCCAGGCTCCAATTCCTGCAGGCTGCTTCAGCAAGCTTATTACAGACCACTGGGGGAAGTAAGTCAAAATGGGGTCCCCAGCCTGAATAAAGTAGAGCGGAAATTTATTCAGTGAGATTGAACTGAAGTCCATAATAAAAAAGTAGAAACAAAAACTGACTCAACAGCTTGTTAATGTAGACCATACTGCCCTCCAAAAGAGCTGACAAAGGTTTACCTAATTGCAGCAGGGTACCTCAAAGATACCCTGTCAGTTGTCGGCTATGAGGGAAAAATTGAAGCGAACAATCCCATCCCCTTCCGCAGGCTCACCCTGTAAAAAGGTGATGGCGACTGGGTTTGGAATGTTGAAGTAAATGATCTGCCTCCAAACTCTGTAGCCAGGGCCTGGAAGTTGGTTGCATTGACCTTTTGGAGCTCCTGGAAATAGTTTAATTTTGCTAAAATGTTTTTTAAAAAGAAAAGGGGTTTAGATAACAGAAAAATTCATTTTTTAATATCTTGCACACCAAGTAACTAATTTCTAAAGATTTTTTTTGAGGTGTAATATATACACATTAAGGTTAAGTATACAAATGCACTAATCTTAAACACAAACTCAAAAGAATTTTTATGAATTTATATACTTTTATTAGAACATTTTCCCAGAAGGTTCTCAACCAATATTCCATCTTCGGAGATAACAATTCTAATTTTTATCACCTTCTAATTTATATGTAATCTGTTAAATGAATTATTGTTTTATGATTAAGACCTAAGAATATGGCCAATGAATGCCAGTCAGTTCCAAGTCTCTGATGCCACAAATGTGTGATTAGCAATTTGTGATGAAAATAGGAGGCTCAATGATGCTGACGTTTGCCCCACACCAAACGAGTCTCTAGTACAACAAAATGGTACTGTTTCCATAGGAACATGGTGAAGTTGGAGACAATATTTGATTTGTCTCCTCCAAATCTTCCTGTTTTCCCTAAAGTTCAACTAACCAGTCCTAATGTTTCCATCTCTCAAGTACATGGATTTGTCATGTTTTATTCTTTTCGCCTTACAATTTCTACATTCAAAATTTCAGACACTCTACAGGAGTACTTTCTGTAACAATTCTATAATTTATATTACAGCAATGTGTAAAGCTACCCAACCTCCTGCAGCCCTCTCCCTATGGCACTTCAGAACCAGGAGATAGATGTAAGAAAAGACCTCTGGCATTGTCCACTGTCCAGACGGTGGCTGGTGATGGACAATATGCTGCTTCACCACCCAAGTCTTCTGCTAACTTGAAAAAGAAACATAGCAGAAACATGCCTCATGTGAATTCCTTTAATTCTGCATATACTTATGGTCATTTGAACAGATTCAAAAAGGTATCAAGACCTGAAAGCTAATGAGGATTCTACATTACAAAAGCTTGACCTTCATTTTCTGTAATCACAAAGTCTTAATTATTTGACTTTTCAGCTTTCTGATAGAGTATGAAATAAACACAACTGTAAATTCTGGGGACTTACAGACTCCTTACTCACTCTGTATCTCCTACATCTTTGCTACTCAAAGTGTGGTGCACAGACAAGCAGCTCCAGCATCGCCTGGGAGCTTGTCAGAAATTCAGAATCTTAAGCCACTCCCCAGACATAGTAAGTCAGAATCTGCATGTTAACAAACTCTCCATGTGAAATGCAAGCATTTCGGAGTTTTAAAAGCATTACTCTGGAACAGGCAATGCTGATGCTGCTGGTTTGCAGACCAGCTTCTGCCTCTGATCTGAATCTTCAGACTTTAAAGCTTCCAGGAGATATTTAACATTTCCTTCAGAATTCAGACCCTGAAAACCACATGGAAGAAATACTTACCTCATATAAAATGCAGTTATTTGTAACCTTATAAATGAAAGAAAAGTTAAACTTAAGCTAAGAAAGAAGATAAGCTGATATGGTAAATATCCATCTGGTAATTTTTTCATGGCTTAAAAGAATCAGAGAAAGTTTACATTTTGTCTCTCACTTTAGCGCAGGGATACCGCTGGTAAGCAGCAATAATGCAAATAAGGAACATAAGCTAAGGATAATAAGTAGAGTTTTTGTCTAAAACTCTAAAAGTTTTGCCTAAAAATTTCTACCATCATACATAGTATGCATCACATCTAACAGAACTTAAGGATATTTCAGATGTGGACGAAAGCCTAGAGACCACCTGGCCCAATCCCATTAGAATATTTGGATCCTGAGAGGTAAATGAGTTCCAAAAAGCCACATCGCCATCTGGCAGAGCCAGGAGTAGATCACAGACTTCCTGATTCCTGGTCTCCTCTTCCTCACTCTTTGACTGAGAATGTCTGTTACTCGTGATCACTATCAGCAAATATTAAGCACCGTGGGCAAACAGAGTATTTGGTCCATCTTCTCTAGTTGCTGGTAATTTACCTTGGGAGACACAATGTTCATATAAACCAATAACAATCCGAAGTAACCTATAGTTTCCAAGGGACTGACTCTCAGATGTTCGGGAAACAAAGTTCAGAACCAGTGGTCCAGAAGCAGTGGCAGAGTGGACTGGGAGGCAGGAGGGGAGATCAAAAGCAGGGAGGACCAGCTGGATACCACTGCAATAGCTCTAGAGCATAATAAAGCTGGAACTAGAAGGCAGTGGGAGATTAGGAAAGGATGGGGCAGCGCAGACTTATTATAAGTCCCCTTAAACCAGGAATTGGTTGTTTACTGAAACAAATATAGTTTTGCTATTTCTTTTCTAACTAACAGATGAAATCAGAATGGGTTAACTTTCAGGGACATTTAAGTCTGTGTGAGAACATTATTTTGATTCTTAGACATTAAAAAGAGACATATTAACTTCTAAAGATATGAAGTTAATATGTCTAAGTCTATTTACAAACCTTAATAATAACAACCACCTCTCATCATCATTGCCCTCTGTAGTTACAGAGGACTTTCACATCCAGGGCTAGCATTATTTCTCATTTTGCAGCGGAAGAAACGAGACTGGAAATGCTAAGGGATTTGCCCAAGTTTTGTGCAGCTGGTAAGTAAATGGCAAGGCTGAAATCTGAGTGTAATGCTGTTTTTCCTATAGTGCTGACTCATAAAATAAAAACAAGGTTGGTGCGGACTAATTTTTCAACAACATTCAAGTATTATTTGGTGCCTCCTGTGTATCAGGTACTGGGGATTCCATGAGTCGCTTCATGGAGATTGTAGCAAGTGGGAGAATAGAGCCTATCTGTAATAATCTGGGCTAATAGGGATGATTGAAATTAAATTTCTGTATAGGTTTTCTGACCCATAGCCAATAGGGGATAAGAAACTGCAAATGTTCACTAATAAAAAGAGGGGGCAGGTGGACAGGCAAAAGAAGAGGGAGAATGATAGAAATTCAAAGGACAAAAAAAAAAAAAAATTAAAACCAAAAAAAACAAAAAAACGGAAAAAAAGGACAGAGACAAAGCCAATTTTCAATAAACGTTAGGCAATAAGAACAGCCAATATATTTCTACTCACAGTTGTTCACATGGACACAAAACTGCCTAACTCCATTTGAATCCATGAGAACTCTTGAAGGGAATGGGGAATTACTCCTGAAGATAAGAGAGTTGTCCACACACACCCAACTTGAAGACCTGTGAAGAAACATAATGAAGAATAGATACATTTAGGAACACAGGGTTAGGTGGAAAGAAGGGTTCCCCCATGGGTGTCAGATGCCAAAGAGAGGACTCCTTGGGCAGCCGCGGGACGACAGGAAGGTCCTTTTCTATTGGATAGCCCTGCTCTAGAGAATCCAAAGAGGAACGTCACTACTGGGAAAAACCAAGATAATTCCACTTACAGGAGTGGAAGTGGGGGAGGAGAGTAGGAAGGCTAACCCTGTCTTCTTTCAAATATTACTTATTCTAGGGCTCCAATTCCCTTTAGGATTCAACCTGCTTAACACTGCTCACCTCACGCTGCCTGGAAGGCAGAAGGAGAAAACTGTCCTCGGATGGGGAAGATAGCAGTCCCTGTCGCAGCAGCAATTTATATCACAGGCACCAGGAGTCAAGTCACAGACACAGATCGGTAAGACTGTGAAGATATAACATAAAACAGAGCGAAAGGGGTAAGGACCCCCCCACCCAAGTGTTCCAAGAGCGAATTCCCCTCTTCTGACAGCCCCACTCCTTACTTTGTGGCAATTCACTTTGTTCACAGAATTTTAAGTCAGTTTCCATCCCCACATTTCCCCTCACCTGGGAATAGGTCCACGGTCCTATTCCCAGGTGCCGAAGAGGTCAGAACAGTAGGGCCCACTGTGGAGCTCCCAAGTGTGGCCCAGGGGGTTTCAGTCCCCCTCGAGGGCTGAGGGGTCACGCCCTGCGACCCTGGGCCAAGGTCCGAAGGGGTGGGCACTGCCTCTGCCGGGGAGGAAGAGGGCTGAGGACCGACGTCCTTGGGGACCATCAGGAAGAACACCTGCAGCAGCACTAGCGGATAAGTGCACATGGAGCAGTCGAGACCCCCAAGAGTTTTAGAAGGGTTTCCGAGGTCGCCAGACCCGTCGCTAGAGGATTAGAGGGCGTGGGTGTGGGAAGAGTCGCACAGCATCTGATGTCATCGTATGGATTCGCTCATTGGCTCATGACGATAGCTGAGAGCTCTTCAGCCAATAGAAAGCGGTGTTGTTACAGCTCTTTCAGCAACGTTTAGTCTGCGCCCCCCTCCTTAGGCCGGGGGAGACACTGCTTCCGTCGCTTGGCAACCGCCAAACTGGCTTGGCGCTCTTGCCCCTTCTCTCCGCTGGATGGCAGACGAAGTTCAGCGGGAGGGCTAGTGCAGTTGGGTGTCCACAGATTTCGGGACCCAGAGAACTGAGACCTTCCTTTGATGGAGGGAAACCCCAGAGGCTGGAACTAGAATTGCATATATTATCCGGCTTTCTAAGCAAGGATGATTATCTCAGGGAGGAAAATATACTGAAGGTTTCATACCTTAAAAAAAGGTCTCATCTGAATATTGTGTTTTGGTGGGAAACATTAGAAGGATTCAATTCCTTAAATTTTATCATTGAGAAATTACAAAAAAAAAAAAAAATTAAACCTCAGTGGATGCATGGAATCATTAAATGTGGACTGCATATAGAGCCAGAGGGATGAGTAGGGGTGTCTTTCGTAAACTATATAAAAGTCTAACCAATATACTGTATACTTGAAACTAGTAAAAAAATAAATTTTTAAAAATGTGGACTACGTAGTTGTTACAAGAAAAAGTGAGAGAAGCGGGTTGAGAAATGGAGTAGGGGAAAATGTGAGAAGCTAATGAGTCGAAAAGGAGAGACAGATTTTTCTACGTGAAGAGAAAATAGAACACAGGAAGGGAATAGCCAAGAGATGGAGAAGAAAACTTATTTTTTTGCTATTATACATTGTTACTTTTTGTAGCCCTCTTCAGGAAGTTTTGGGTTTTCCCAGGAGTGGCCTCTTCTGGGTCTCTAGAGCAGCACTGTTCATCACGCCTTTCAGCAGTAATAGAAATGTTCTGTAGCTGCACCGCTCAATACAGCAGCCACAGGCTATGTGTGGTTACTGTGCACTCAAAGTGTGGCTAAGGTGGCTGAAGAGCTGAATTTAAAATTTTTAATATTAATTCAAAGTTAAATAACTACATGTGACTGGTAGCTACCATGTTGGATAGTAAAACTCTGTGTCATCAAAATCTTGGCTCCTCCTAGGCCCAGTGTTTTCCTCAGTCTACACAGTTCTTAAATAGGGATTATTTCAGTTGCTTGGTTTGCGAATGTAAATGAAGACCTGTTAAAGAGTTATCTGAAGTCTAGTACACTCTCCTAAAATCTAGCTAATACCTCCTTTTAGGTAAATAAATTTTAAGATCCCAGACCTTATTTACATTCTCTGACAAAATATTGATATTTTAATGTTCTGAAGTCTGTAGATAACTGTATCTTTGTGTTATAAATGTTCTCAAACATATTTTCAAATGATTTTGTGGTGAACTGCTATAAGAGATGTCTATATTTATGTTTGAGCATAAAACATTTATCTACTTTGTTAATTTCTGTAGGAAAAGAACAAGTTTAGATTGTTTAAATTCTATGTATTTGTTGGAATATGAGCTCCACAAAAAAGGGGTTTTTGTTTTGTTCACCGATGTATCCCATGCCTAGAACAGTGCCTAGGACATGTTAGATGTGCATTCAATATTTTATAAAATATTGTTTTGTTGAACTCTTTAGATTTAACTCTTATGGGTATTTAGAGTTTATATTATTTCAGGATTTCATTTCTTTATATAAAATTTCCATTGTACAATCCATCGGAGACTATTTTAGATTTCAAAGTTTGGAATTTACACTGCGATTATCAATGGTAAATCAGTAATAAATTATTCCTGAACTTATTAGTGTTGGAAAAAGAATATGTCGAATGAAGTAATTTCAGGGTTGAGTGTAGAGAAATTACATTTCAGAATCTTTGAGTTGCTTTTTCTTATTTTTGAATTTTAGCACTTTAAAATTTTTTAGACTATTTACTTTTTTTGCTTTTTGTTATAGTTCAGCAAAAATATTTGTATTATTGCTGTTATATATTTATAGTTCTGTAGTCAGAACTCTCAATCTTTTTGAGATCTAATATTAAAAACTGAAAGAATTTTGAGGAAAGAGAATGAAATTTATTTATGTTTTATGCAGATGCCAATTTTAACACAGAAACCAAGTCTTCAACTCAAATAGCTTAAAATGACATCAACCTCAGAAGCAGAGATTTCCAAATTAGATCATATGGTAGTAGCAGCTGTCTGTTTGATATTAAAGAGTCCAATGTGTGCTTAGAGATTTAGCCAAGAGATTGAATCAATGTGGCAGACAGAGAACAAGTTCTAGCTTCTCCTGACTCTTCACCTCTTTCTAAAATCTTCAAAAAAATTACAAGAAAGTTAAATGGATACACAAGCTCATATGTATCCATGCACATATCTTGATATTGATAAATATGAAAGGATGCTATTGATGGACAAAACATTATGAGAGTCCTTGAAATACAAAAGAAAAATGGGATGGTATTGAAGGTGGAACAATAAAAGTTGCATAAAAGAGTCTTAATACAGAAGTGGGAGTGATTCTTGGGCGTGTTCTAAATACACAGAAAGAAGCTATTGATATCAGTAGGGCCCTTGGACAATTTTGTGAGTTATTGATTGAATTACCACTGTAGGAAGAGTTAGATAGGTCAGCCTTTCAACCTTATTCCCACTTGTGTATGCAATGGGTAGCAGAAGAACTTGCTCTTAAAGGGGACGGAGCAGTCCATGTAGGCACTTCTGCTAAAAAGGCAGGACAGTGTCCTGGATGGCTTTTAACATCTGGGAGGAAGAGAGAGACCCCACATCTTGAAGACTGGTACAAGCTCAGCTTGTCAAGCTGCATATCTGACATTCCCTCCTCGACAAATCCTGGTGGCAGAATGCAAAGAGGAAATCTACAAAATATATAGATTAAAAAGACATATTTCTTTCAAAAGTTCAACAGTAAGACTCACACGCAACTTTTTAACAGAAATAAAGCAGAATAAATAAAGTGAAATGTCTTAAAAGAAGCTAACCTAGAATGCTATACCCAGCAAAATAGGCTTTCGAAATGAAGATAAAATAAAAAAAAATTGTTTAGAAAACAAAAATGAAGAAAAAAATCACCACCAACATACTTATATAAAGAATTGCTTAAGGAAGTTATCTGGGCTAAAGGAAAAATGATACGAGGTAGAAGCACAGAAATATAGGCAAAAATTAAGAGCAACAAAAAGGGTAAATACAAGGTCAATATGTAAAACTCAATTGTATTCCTATAATAGCAATAGTAAATTGGAAACTAAATATTCTTAGGTGATAAAAATTATAATAACAAAAAATTAAATACCTAAAAATAAATCTAAAAATGCAAGATCTCTACATATCAAATTATATACTATTTATGAGAGGAATTAAAGAAAACCTAAATAAATGAGCAGCTATGCCAAATTCATGGCTAGGAAGACTTATTAATGCAAACATGTCAGTTCTTCTCAAATTGATATATAGATTCAGTGCTGTCCCAGTGAAAGTTTCAGCATTTTTAGTAAAGATTAACAAGCTGATTTCAAATGTACATATAATTGCAAAAGGCCACGAATAGCCAAGAGAATCTTAAAGAAGAACAAAGTTGGAAGGGCTAGACCTACTATATATCACCTCTCACTCTTTAAACAAAATAATTGTTAAGATAAAACGATATGGCTTTTGTTTCAAGATAGACAAATAGACCAAAAGAAAAGAACAGAGTCTAAAAACAGACCTACATATGATTTATGACAAAAGCGATACTGCAGAGCAGTGAGGAAGCATGATCTTGCTAATAAATTGTGCTGAGTCAACTGGGTATTCATACAGACAACAGTGTATCTTGACTCCTAGCTATTGCGTAAAACAATAAAGCTACTGGAAGACAACAGGAGAGAACATCTTCATGATCCTGAGGTCATAATAAGGCAAGATTTCTTAAACTGCACAGAACAGTCACTGATCATAATGAAAAAGATTCATAAATTAAATCTCATTAAAATTCAGAACTTCTCTTAATAAAAAGACACTATTAAGAGAATAAAAAGACAAGTTTACCAATGTTATTTTTACTTTTAAAAAATAAGCTATGAATATGTGTAGAATCATTTTCATCAACTGATACTTTTAAATTAAATTTTAATTTTGTGATGAGTGTAGATCACATGAGGTTGTAGGAAGTAATAAAGATCTTGTGTACCCTTTAAAGGGAACACCTTGCAAAACTGTGATACAACCAGAACATGGGCATTGATATAATCCACTCACTTTCTTCAGATTTTCCTGGTTTTACTTTTATGAGTGCATACATGCATGCGTATGTATTAGTTCTATGTAATTTTATCACGTGTGGTTTCATGTATCCACCACCACAGTGAAGATAGAGAGCACTTTCATCACCACAAAGATCTGTTCTGTTGTCCTTTCATAACCATTTTTACCTTCCTCCTCCCACTTCCTCTCTCCAAGATGCATTTTTTAACCATCATTAATTTTCATAGTAACTATAATTAAAATAACTATGTAATTTAAATAGTAGTTCACAAGCAATTATCCAAAGAAATCAAATAAATGGTGTCTACATGTTTAATGGAAAATGAAAGTTTAGTAGCTCTAGAAGAATTAATTTCCTTGCTTATTAAGAGATTAATAAACAATGAATACATTATAGAGTGAAGAAATATGTTTGCATGTTGAAATCTTTAAAAATAATTTTCTTTAGCCATGAGTATTAATAGCAAGCACTGTATTAATTAGATACTGCCTACTATTCCTAAACAGAAACTACTTATGATGTTATCTTTTTCCTTAATGTAAAAGGGTATCTACTTCTTTACTTTTTTGCTTTTCTTCATTTCACTCTATGGAAGAGACTGCTAATTACTGACCACATATCCAGTCTCCCTTCTCTCTTGAACAGAACCCCAATGTAGCCAAAAGGTGGCATCTCCCAGCCTCCTTTGCAGCCAGTTGGGGCTATACATGTAGTTTTGACCAA